ATTGAGAACCAGCTGGGTTCTTATTTGTTTGCCAAAAAGAGCAAACATTTAGAATGGTCAGGTCAAGACTTGGCAGACAAAAATAATAATGTGATTTTGAAGAATAACTCTATCAATAAGGTTGTCAATAATATCTTTAAAAGGTTTTATGCTGATAACACCTTAGATTTTATTAGTAATTTTGGGATACTTGCATCCTCAACTTTGAAAGACACAAATATTTTAGGGGAGTTATATATTACAAAAGATATGAATGCAAATGCCATGGAAGCCAGAAATTGTCAAAATAGTGTATCCAAACACATACCCAGTGGTCTTATCACAGGCACAAATACTGAGTTATCCAAAGGAAAGACATGTCAAACCTTAAGAATAGATTTAATTTCTATTGTTGTAGAAAAATATTCTCCCATGTTGGCAGATCCAGAAGAAACCTGTCATTCTGAAACATTTCTGAGGTGTGACACTTCCTTAAATAGCATTGAACATAAAGCCTCTGAAAATCTGAAAAACAAAAATTCCATTCCTACAGAAGAAGACAAAGAAGAAGTAGTTTGCTCTTCTACAATGAACAGTGGAAACAGTAAAGATGAGAAAGACTTGTAATAAAGATCATTACATTAGTGAAAACATCTTTAGAAAAAAAAAATCACATAATAAACTGCTGAACGGTGCAACCAATAAAACTCCCAGTGTGAATAACTAGATAGAAATAAGTCGCAATTGTATACCAGTCATGAAATACAAATATTAATTAAATTTTTTGGGACCCACCATACGAAGAAAATTGTTCTTCTAAGGCAATGATTTCTTGGCTAGGAAACAATTTTTCCCCGAAATATGAACTGTGAAGAGATAGTTGCATACCAATCATCTAATTTTAGAGAAATGATGGCTGCTTTTTTCAACTGAGAACTGAAATTTGTAATACATGCCCAAGCTTTAAGATACAATATTGATATTCCAGGATATTTGAGAAGGAGATTGAAAACTGCCTTTCAGTAGAAATGCTTTTCCCAGAAGAAAATCAACTGATACATTTAATTTTAAATGAAAACTAGGAAGTACTCTTCAGATGCTGTAATACAGTAACAAGTTGGAATGAGAAGTCAGGTTAATTTTATATAGATGTACATTATAAAATTGCTATTTGAGATTTTAAAGGCCAGCTGTAGAACATGTATGTAAGTAAATAGATTTTTCCATGTAGGATCATCCAGACACCAAATAAGGAGGCCTCTTTTTCTCAGAGGAGACTAGAAAAGGGGTATATTTAGGAAGTGAGAATGGCGACTGTCAATGGATTTCCTGATTGCTCTTGCCATATTTCCTTCTGAGACAGCACCACATACTCTTTAAATTGTTCTACATACACTTAAACTTTTAGTTGTGTGTTCTAACTTAATCTCTGTCTGTACTTTAGAGATTGTATTTGTGGTTTTATTTTGGGTTTTTTGTTTGGTTTTTTTTGTAAATATGTTGAATTTTGAGAATCCAAGGCATATGCAATATGTTCCAGGATCTTTCAATCTGTTGTTAGAGTTGTTTTGGATACTTGTTTACAGCATTTTTTAATACTGCATGTATGTAGTAAGCACCTATATATGGTTTACAATTTTCAGTAAATGATGTTGCACATGAAATCGGAAAATATTTAAGTTATTTTGTGGTTAGGGAGAATGTTTCGGTTTTTTGGTTAGATTTTAATTCCTAATACTGCACAGTGCCCCTGATCATTGTTAATTAAGTCAGATATATACCTGAAAAAAGAAAATGTTGCGTTTCAGGTAAAGAATGGCCATTCTGTACTCTTGAAACTCTGTCTAGAACAACTAGCATGTGCATACTGTGATAAGTCCTGGGTCATGATCCTTTGGTTATCCAGATTGGGGACCTAATAAAAGGCTGACGCAAATTCCTCTTGGCCCAGAGGTCAAGATTATGTCTATGTGGGACAGAAGGCGCTTGAAAGGGAAGTAGAAGTTGGATGTGAAGCAAAAGGGGTTTGTAGCACAGGCAGAAAACCTAGAAGCACTGCTTAGTTTTTTTAGATGTCCAGTGGCTGATATATTCCCCCCTAAATAAATGATATATTTCTGTTGTTTGAAGCGGCGTATACTATGTAATAAAATAATATTATAACTCTAAATCAAGATGTATTGTCTAATATACTTTATACCAGATAGCTGTGTGTTATTTCCTATGCTGCCCTTGTTTCTGACATTCTTCTGTCTATCTCCACTTCTTTTGGTGTCCTCCTCCACATGTTTTAGAACTGCTCCAAGTGAGGAATCTCAATGCTATTTTTTCATCCCTTTACATGTTGATACAGAAATAAAACCTTTGTTTGAAAAATGCAACTCAAAATTGCTAGAATCCATCTGTATGCCATACAGCATTCTATGCTGTAAATAATGTCTAAATTATAGGTAAACTAACAGCTATATATGTTTCCATCACAGTCTTTCTGCTGGATTTACAGCACTCTGTGCTGCATTCACAACACCTCAGTGTTTCCAGATCCAGGTTCAGGAGCCTTTAATCAGATCCTTATTACTGAGTTACTAAGGGTTACTGAGCAAACTAAGCATTGGAACACGAGATGTGAGGAACTCCCTCAGGATACAATTAGCAGTGATCACAGCAAGCAGTAAAATTAATATTAACTGCAAGACTTGGTTTTGATTTCTGTTAACTGAAAGAGAAGGAATAAAATGGTCACCTCAGAGCAGGACAAAAGGTTGACGGTGAGATGTACCATATTGTCATAGGGTTTATATATTCATTAGTGGTAAAGTGAAGATCAGAGAATCGTGGGATCATTTAGGTTAGAAAAGATTTCTGAGTCCAACCATTAATCCAGAATTGCAAAGTCCACCATTATTAAGCCATGTCTCCAGGTGCTATATCTACACATCTAAATACCTTCAGGGTTGGTGACTCAACCGCTTCCCTGGACAGCCTCCAATGCTTGACAACCCTTTCAGTGAAGTAATTTGTCCTATTCAATCTGAAATCCAGTCTAAACCCCATCTGGTGCAACTTGAAGCAAAAATAGAGACTATAAGGTGTCTGAGACGCACAGATAAAATAAAATTGTTTTCATAGTTAAGATTGGAGAAGGCTGAAGAAAGAACCGCACAATGCTAGAGGAATGTACTGATTGACAGAGGCAAAAACACCATGAGGAGTAATATGAGCTACTTGAATAGGTAGAAAAGCATTCAGCAAGTATTCTGGGTTTTATAGAGAGTATATCATACATCTGGAAGGAATCCAGTTTTTATCTTGCTGTAATTTAAAAAGAAACAGCCAACATAGCATACAGATCACAGTCCCAGGAACTCTCAGTTTATCTAGTTTATCTGCTTGCTAGAAGGAAATACCACAATTAAGTAAGTAATTCCACTTAGTAGTAAATCTCATTTTAAATCTTTTTCTCTGTAGTCATTACAGCTTCCACCAGATGTTCTAGAGCTTGTGTCCTGCTTCTGATATCTGTCTTGAATGTTTTCTGATTTCCATCCTCAGCCTGCTCATGGTTATTTTATATACATGTGTCCCAAAGTCATCACTGTAATTTACTTAAAAAAGTCTTTTTCCTCCTTGGTATCCATCAACAAAATCAGATATTTTCTCAAGTTTTTCTCCTATATGAATATTTTTTTCTATTTCCTCTAACCTGAAATGCATAAGGCATATTTCTCTTAATTATAAGGATGTCAGAGGAAAAGAAGATAATTTAATTTTTCAATGTATCACAATTAAACAAATACCTTGATTTTCATAGTACTAATAATAGAAAATGTCATTAATCTAATTGCAATGTTGATGCACTGTAAGAGTTATGGGGAATATTTAATACAATTTTCTCACTTTGTGTCACAGATTAGGCCTAATCAGAACTAAGCCCCACTCAGCTGCTTTCTTACTTCCCTACCAGCAAGACTGGAGAGAGTAAAGTAGAGAAGATTCATGGGTTGAGCTAAAGTTTAATAGGTAACAAAAAAGGTGCACACACAAGCAAAGCAAAGCAAAACAAGGAATTCAATCACCAGCTAATTTGAGCTGAATTAATAATTTGTGTTTCAAGGGGCCTTAAGACCCACCTAGTTCCAGCACCCCTGCAGTGGTCAGGAATACCTTCCACTTAGACTCCATCCAACCTGGTTTTGAGCACTTCCAAAGCTGAGACGTCCACAGCTTCTCTGCTTAACATATTCCAGTGCCTCACCACTCTCACAGTGAAGAATTCTTCCCTAATCTTTAATCTAAAACTGTTGTCTTTCAGTTTGAAGCCATTGCCCCTCTTCCTGTACTACGCGCTCTTGTAAATAGTCCCTCTCCATCTTTCCTGTAGGCTCCTTTCAGTTACTGGAAGGCCACCCTGAAGTTTTCTCTTTTCCAGGCTGAATAAACCTAATTCTCTCAGACTTTCCTCCTAGCAGATCAGCTAGCTGACCTCATCTGGATTTTCTTCAACAGATCAAAGTCCTCCCTGTGCTGGTAAAGCTTCAGTGTGTTCCAAACAAGCTGCTATGTCTGTGTGGCTGATCACACCTTTGCAGAGATACAGATCCTTTCTTAAACAGCTCTTTTTCAGTAAAGCTAATTTGCTTTCAGGGTCCCTAATGTTTAAAGTGATGAGTGTCAAGGCTGTCATTACACAGCACTGCATTGAGTAAAGCTAATATATTCTAAGTAAAGAGAATCCCATATTTAATGCAATATTTCAAAACTGTCATTGAAAGGTGATTTCTGTTCATTTAAATTTGACTTGGTCATATAGGACATTTAGAATAAAAGGTATGAATGACACCTGACATTTCTTGACATGCCAAATATAGAAAACTCAATATTTGCTTGCTGTAATTTTGTGAAACACACATTTCTGTATTCATTGACATGCTATTACTTAGAATTTTGATTACCAAATGAATTTTATTTAATAATCTTGAGTTTAAGTAATTCAGCGAGTCTTTTTATCTTTTGATAGCTAGGAAATGGAACGTGTCAGTCCTCACCAGTGATGTGCCATCCGCAGGAACAAGCTCAAGGGTTTATATTACATTGTATGGGGATCGTGGCAGTTCAGGTCCTATTTTTCTTGATGGAGAGAAGGGAAAATTATTTCAGAGAGGCAATGAAGACATCTTCACAGTAAGTAATATATATTCATTGTGTTGTCCTCTTGCTTCCTGCCAGATCGCATGACATTTCAAATTCTATGTGATAAAAGGTAGCTTTTTGTGTGTTGTCTATGTCTAGAAATGAGAAACAAGACTTAAATGTAGAGCTAAATTTAGTATCCTTTCCCACTCACTTATCCAAAGCTTATTTGATTCAACATGTTTATTGTCTGTTGAAGAACAACTACTGTTTTATTTGCATTGTGCCCAAGAAAATTTCAACAAACATGCAGCAACAGATACTAGTTTAGTTTTCAAATTTGAAACAGGGCTACAATATTAAAAATTAAATGAGGAAGTGAAAAATTAGGATATGGAGTAAAATTTTAACCTTGTTAAACACCTGCTGCTTTATTGAAATAGAGGCAAATTTTATACCTGCAATAAATCTTTCTTGAACTGCTTCTGCTTACAGTTACACAAATTCTTGCTCAGTCTTATAATGTGGTGATTTAGGTGAGCCAGACTAGGCCCTTTATTACAATCTACATAGCTTTAGTGTGTATATAGGATTGTCAGGGGCTGTCTACATGTGTCTGTTATAGGGCCATATGACAAACAGGTGCTTCCATCATTAGTATCCAGCGTAGCAACTCCCCTTCTGAGAAAACGTGTTTGATGCCAGCATTGATGAAAAGCTCACCTTTTCCACAGTTGCCTGTAGATGTTTGGGATGCAGGAAGTGCAGTTCTTATCCCTTTCCTCAGAAGAATCCAGCACCCCTGATACAAAAATGTCATTCTCCATCCATGATATCAAAACCAGCCAGATTGAAAGGAGTGCATTAAACAAGTAAGCAGGTCTGACAGATTAAAAGACCCTCTTCACAGCAGATGTTGGCTGTTTCCTGTTGCCATTACTGAAATTAATTTCACCATTTAAAAGTCACAATGACATTTAAGTGCAAAATATGGAGGACGGTCCCATTGTTTGAGATCTAGGATTCCTCTGTTAGGCAAGCACCCATAGGATTGAATACAATTAAGGAGAACCTACTCTGAAATGTATAGAAAGAGAAAAGGCTCTCTGAGTGCACTATATTTGCACATAGCTGTGGTCTGTCCTCGCTGCTCTGCCTCTTTATAATTTATAACACTGAGTTCAGGAAAATCCATGATACAGGTAACTCAGTTCACACCCATCTATCTATACAATGTCAACGAAAACAGGCAAATTAATTCTATGGAAAACAACAAGAGAGAAAATCAAGCCTACATTATAAAAAAATAAATTATACAGTGAGGAAGGAAGACTGATGGTGTACTTCCAGTTCCTTGAAGATAAGCTTTCTATTTCTACACTTAAGTTCATAGTAATGTTGTTTGAATAACCTTCACATAAAGTTATTCCCTCAGTGCCCTGTTATCTGTACTGGACATATTCATCCAGCCTGCCCAAGAGCTAATCTTTCAAATACAGCTTTTTAACTTGATTTAATTGAATTTTTTTGTAAAAAGAAGCATCAGAGCTGAACACAATTGTTTCCAAAAAAATTATAAGGCACCCTAGAGGAGTAGGGAGAAACTCAGAGGTATATGGAAGCCAAAATAATTTTGGAGCAGGTTACTAGTATAGATGCTATACTGAGACAGATTTTATGGTATGGTCTCTATTCATCTCCAATTGAGGCAAATATTCAGCCAGGAATTACTACAGGAACTTTCTGGATATTTAAATGGGATTGGCAGGCCAATGTGATTTTTGAGGGCTCTCTTTTAGAAGACCCAAATATCTAAGAATTATCTGAAGTGAAATATGTTGGAAAGGTTAGTTTAAATGTCAGAATAGTTAACTCCTTGAATTAAAAGTCTCACCTTACATTTACTAAATGAATTTCTGTCACATGTCTTTTCTTTTTAACAAATGTTCTGTGTTTCATAGTTATGTTTCTTTTACAGGTCAATACTAGGAACATAGGACAGCTCTACAAAATTCGTATAGGACATACAAATGCAGGAAACTCCCCTGCCTGGCACTGCAAAGAGGTAAAAGCAATGAGGAAGAATTTTACCTGTCTGAAAGCAGTCACTATGACAGTGGGTTCAAAATATGAGTAGAGGAAAAAAGTCCCTGGGATTATATTAGCCTCATCAAATGCTTTCACCTTCATTTAAGGGATTACTTATGAAGGAATGGTTTTGTGTGGAATTAAAGCAGCTTATGATGTCTGGGGTTGGCTGTTTGCAATTTAATATATTACATTTCTTTAAAAACGTGTGGCTGGGCAGCAAGGAAGACTGCTTAACTTAGCTGTTATAGTCTGAGTCTTCTACAGTCTTTGTATGCTACAAAGAATAGTGCCTAGAGTTTGTTTAAACCCATGAAATCATGGAACCCAGCCTAGACAAGTCCTCCCCAAATCTGTGGCTGATGCCTATGGGTCCCTATGCACAGCACAAGAGTTACATTGCAAATGTTTCTAGTTCTGTGTCTCTGACAAGAAACGGACAAGAGGTCCTTTTCCCTCCTTATGTAAAAAATATCTTGATGCAGGTTAAGCAAATATAATAAAGCAAAGAGAATGAGCTAGGTGCATTTCAAGGTTTGGTTGGGAAGCATGGTATAGAGGTTTCTGGACTGGAAATTAAAGGATCTGACTCTTATCCTAATATCCAGCATGATACTATGTATGCCAATTATATCCTATGCATGCCTGAAACCCTTCCATCTTTGTGGCAGAGCTTCTTATCTTTATCTTTCAGTTAAGAGACTGCAGTTTATGATGAGCTTTAGAAGCTGCTGGTAAACTCAATGTTTAAATTATAATTCATGGTATATCTAGATCTGCCAAATGCAAAGTGCCAACTGAAGTCAAATATTCATTGATCAGTGCTCAAAATCTGTGGCTATGATGCTTACCTGGGCCTGTGGCTCAGAAGGAAGAGATCTGGGAAGTGTTAACTGAAGTTTAGGCAAGATCTTGTGAGCTCATACCTCTAACCAGTTCATGTCTACACTGAAATATTGCCTATCTAAGACTAAACTGTTATCACTCTAAGAGATTTCCTAATAGAATTATAAGGATTATATCTCTTTCAATTCAAGTGATTGATGACTGCCTGATTATAAAACTTAGCTATTAGTTTTCCAGCTGTACTGAGTTTTGGAGACAGACATTTAAAAATGAGACTGAGGAAGTCTGACAAAAAATAAAAGGAAAGAGAAAAAAAATGAAAAGTTATTATTAACGTTCTTTCCACCTAGGATATATTCATTGGAATCAACAGTAAAATTTTAAAAACTGCAACACTTCAGTGTGTCCATTAGTTATTTATTTATAAATTTTAATTGTCTTTTTATGGAATCTCAGTCAATCAGATAGTTTTTAGGGAGTGGTTCATCTGCCAGTGCCAAGTCATTCCTTCTTTGCAATTTTGGGCAGAAAGTCAAAGTAAAGAAAAAAAAAAAAAAGAAATACATTCAAACCTTACAGATAGTGTTTTTTATGGTTCAGAGATAAAGAATACAGTCATTGATTTCTAGACTTCAAACAAGAGGAACAACCTACAGACACTTAGCATCGCTGTTTCTCGGGAAACCTACATTTTTTCCAGGAATAACTAAAATGAAAAGAGCATTTTCTACAACTGCAGAGCTTTTCTGGTAGTTATGCACATTAGTCCTCCATCAGTGTCCCGTGGTTTCTGTGTATCTGCACTGAGATGATATCAGACCAGGAAAAGGTGCTGCTTTGCTAAGCCAAATTTCCCTTTCAGGCTTCATCAGCAGATGCTGACAGGCTAAGGTGTTCCAGGTTTTTCAGATGAGATGAAGCTTTGTCTTTAAAGTTTAATATTCAAGCAGCAAAAGAGATAAAAATGTTTCCAGTAAATCTGAGTTTGTTCAATATTCAAATTAGGGAGATTAGATTCTGCAAAGCACAGGGTGGAACTACAAGTAGGAGTATTTTCCCTTCTCTCTGCCAATCCAAAATCTATTGTAGATACGGGTATAAATTAGCATAATCAGGGACTATTAGAACATACAGCAGCCTCTGAAGTGCTTACTAAGGAATACTTTGAAGTACAAAGTAGCCTCTTTTCCTCCTTCAGCGGGTTTGCATATGGTCCTTTTGCTGCTACATGCTTGAAGCTGGGCATGGAAGAAAATAATGTAGGGCATTGTGTAGGCCTCAATTAGTGTTGGGATTAGTTGGTGCACTTTATGGTTTATTTATGTCACAGGGAGTGCTGAAGAATCACAACCTGTCCCTTTAATTCCTGTTCTGATAAAAGTGTAAGGAATAGAGATACAAGCATTGACAAGCCTCCTGGTGAGAAGTTCTGTCTGTGGTAAGCCATGCCACCTAGTGCCAGCCCCCATGGATGTGCCAGCTGGAACAACAGCTGTAGCTTGTGGGAGTGCTCCTGAGCTGACAAAAACCTGTTTCTTGGTTGCACCTGAGTTACTCTGCCCTGAGCTTTCAAATATGACTGAGTGAAAAGTCAAGTTTGGGCAGCTGGAACAGAAATGCTCCAAACCCATGGTTTTGTGGTTATCCACAAAGCTCTACCTGCACAGATTTCAACAGCATCCCACACATTTTATGTTCTGTTCATCTGCTCTGAGATCAGCAAGTTAAATTGGAATTATTGGTGTTATTTAGGTGCAGTTGCTGAACCTTTTCTCAGGGGAGCAGTTCTCTTTCCCTGCACATCGATGGCTGGCCAAGGACCAGTCTGATGGGGAAATATCTGTGGAGCTTCCTGTTTTACAGCAGGGTCAGCCTATTCTTCCAGGTAAGCACAATACAACATCAGCAAAGTCAGACCCTAGACTGATGTCAATACAGGTGAGTTCATTATTTTTCATCAGACCCTCTATATTACTTTTTGGCTGCCACAACAGTTTTTCTGCTTTGCTTTCTTCTTGTTACTGTGCATACTCAGTATGCACAGTATACTGTGTACTTTTTAACTGTAAAAAGTTAAAAAGCACTGGAAAAGAAATGTGAGAGACTTTAATGCTTTTAATTTTGCATGTTCTTAAAGTGGATTCCTTGTTTGGTAAGATTTTCAGTGCTTATGTTTGGTTTAAAATAAAGGCAATACTAAAGACGTGCCAGATATGTAACCACCATGAAGGCAGCATATGAGTCAGATCACAAACTCTGTTTTCAATAACTGAGGATTATAGCTCCAATGTTGCTATTGCAGCTGCTGTTTAAGTCTCTTTCTGGTAAGTGGCTCAGACTTCCAGAATAGTTTTAATTTTTGGATGTGGAATAAAACTTGCAGAATAAATATTTCAGGAGACTATAAGTGTTAAAATCTCCATTATTCACAGAGAGATTGTATTGTAATTCTAAAGGTGAATGATTCCAAAGGATATGAAAATTATTGGGTGTTGCTGTTGCTGCATTGTTTTAGAGTCCTGCTCTACTACACCAGTCCATGACATTGCTAATTATCCCTCTGCTTGATCAGTGGAAAGGGGGTGGAAAGTCTGTGCTTATTCTTCCCTTCTCTCCAATTGGCATTGTCCTTTTCTGGAAAATTTATAAGAAAATTACAAGGGCTTAGCAAGAGCAATGTGTCTTGGGAGAGATGTGGGTGAGGGAGCAAGAATGCTGTGGCAGATTCCTATCCTATTGGGGCGTGATGCTAGAGGGAAAAAAGCCATAACACCACTGGTATTACTTGTGCTAGGACTTCACTAGAACAAGATCTATCTGGGACATGTCCTCTTCTCTTCCCCACAAAAGTCATATCAGCTGCAGAGGACAAAATAAGATGAGAGAAACTTCCATTCTAAGTTCTCTAAAAACTATGAAACCCCTTTTTCAGAGTGTTTAACAATTTATCAGTCCTTTATGGTGTGTCTATGGTCCCTTGTGTTGATCTTGCAAAGTGAAATTGTAACAAGTATTTCAGTGGTAACAAATATTGTGGATGCAGGCTAGAGGAAAAGGATATATACAAATAAAATCGAGGGGCAAAAGTCCAGAAAATGGTCCATGCATGTGGGAAAACATACCCTGGGACAGTTACTCTTGTAAGAAAGAGATGGGTGGCCTGGAGTTATATTTATGCTTTTCTGTGATGACTGAACTCTGAGATTAAGAACTTGACAAGAAGATCATAAAAAACCAGGTTTGTGCCCCAAAAGTATGTTTTAAGAGAAAAAGAATAATGGGAGAGATTTCCCCCAGTACTTAGTAGATGTCAATGGCTCGTAAGATGCTCTAGAGAAAGAGAGGCCAATCCACATTAACCAAAATGAGTTTTGGTCTTGGGTGGTCATGATCTTCGTGACAAAAGAAGCCCCAGAGACACTCAGCCTACTTCCTCACAGGTTTGGTCTTTTTGGTCAGGAGACCAATACTGTTTTTATAGGGGGACATAAAGACACAGTGGTATAAAAGTCAAGTGCCTCCTCATCCCCTTTGAATAAATGCTAATTAATGATAACTGACGTATTGTATTGAATATGCTCTAATACCCTATTTGCAGTGTATTTTCTTCCCCAAATGTTCTCTTGTTTAAATACCCTGAGATGTAGACCTCGGTTGGTTAGCACATGGTGCTAATAATGCCAAGGTTCTGGATTCAATCCCTGTATGGGCTGTTTATTCAAGAATTTTAGTCAATGATCCCTGTGGGTCCCTTCCAACACAGAATATTCTGTGATTCTCTGATCATCCTAATTTTTGGCTCTTTCTGAGTAGCAGCTTTCCTTGTTTCTGAAATGAAGATACAATAAAAGATTTTTATTATTGAGTAATCTTCATGCATGGAAAGCACAAAGGCACGCTTACAACCAACCTCTCAATCTGCATTTTGTAGTTAACAATTTCTCTCTCACACAAGGGAGGAAGAAAAGAGCTTCTGTGCATTTCTACCAGCTTCAGTGTAAAAGGGGTCATGCAGAAGGCTTTGGAGAAGGCAGTTTCATCTCTGATTGAGTAATTGAAAGACAGCCCCTGTGTCTTTTTGCCAGTGTTATATTTCTGCATGAGACAGTGTAAAGGGAACACAGCTTTTAACTTCAGAGAAGATAGTTTGATAACAGTGAAGGGGTCTAGATTCAATGTGAAAGAGAGATGATGAGAGGCACTTTAAAACCAATTTCTGAATAAAAAGAGGCTGAAGCACTCTCTGATTTGGCATTCTTTTTTATTCAAAGGAAAAACATAGGAATTAAACTGTTAAGAAGTGTTACATAGAGACTTTGTTGCTATAATGCTGGAGGAATGAGCAGTATTCCTTTGACGTTTTATCCTCTATCGTTCGACTTTTTCCCTGTCTGCTCATGGTTTATGACACAGTCATTAATTATATCCTGAGAATAAATCAGGGATACACAGTGTTGGTAGCTGGTGGACCTTTGCTTTTCTTCTTGCAGGAATTGGAATGTAGATAGTTATTGAAGGAGGAAATTGTTGCAATAGAGCATTGTTGTGGTCCTATGCATGGAATTGTTGGTCTAGAGAGATTAATTCTTTCCCTCTTCTGTGGTCTGTTCATGAAACATGTTCATGTAGGTGCTGCAAAGAAAAAATTGGGCAAGTAAATAGATCAGGTGGTGACATATGAACTTATATGGGTAAAATGCAGTAGGAATTAACAGTTGCTAAATGAAAACTATTGTGAGTATTGAGACAGGCTTACACTGGGAAAGATAGCGCCTGATTATGCTGCTAACTAAACAGTGTCAAAAGCTCCTGTGTGTTAAATATGGCTGGCCTTTGCCATATATTTCGGAGGAGCTCAGAGGCTCTGATCTCAAAATTAGTTAGTTCTCATGCCAGAAGGAAACTAGCACTAGTGTTCTGTGAAGGCACGTTAAAACCTGTGCAGGCTGTTTAGTGTTTTTTCTAAATTTTTACCATTATCCAAATTGAATTCTTTAAAGATAGCTTGTTTAGTAACAAACACAAAAAGCCCTTGCAAATAAATGAGAGATAAAAATAAGGATGAATGGAAACATTGTAACATTAATCAGCCACCTAGCATAATTGCAGATATCTTCAGTGCTTATTAAAGGAAGGTGTTTGGCCATCAGAAAAGTGAGATTTGGAAGCAACCTCCTTCAGAGAATTACAGCCAAGCTTCATAATGTGATTCAAATAGAAACTGACAATTGAATGATGATAATGTTGATGTTGTTTCAAACCCAGTGGTTCAGAAACTCTTTTCTGCTTGCAAGACAGAGAAGCACATGGACATCCACTCTTGGAATTTTCTGGCTTGTGTGCCAGAAAATGAGGTTTTCTCTTCCCCTTTCATTCTCTCTGTACCTTATCCGGTCTAACAATATATTGTTAGTGTATGTTGGCATAATTTTTTTCTTTCCCATGTTAATACTGAAGATTATGACTGTATGTTTTATCTTACTTCTGAATTTTATGGAGTTCCTACATCTGCATTTTAAGGAACACAGTTTTATACTGGTAGATATTTTTATGTAGATCATAAAATAGTCTTAGATTCATCATATTTTAATTCAAATTTAGTTTTACTTGAAATATCCATTCTTATTAAATAAATGATTTATTGAATTTAAGTCTTAGTTGTTCCATTCTAAATTTATATCCTTTAAAGAATTTCCATATGGAATATAGAGAAGTTACCTATCACTGGAAACATACAAAATCAGGCTGGACACGGCTCTGATGTAACTGAGGATATCCATGATCATGACAAGGCTTAAATGGTCTTTAAAGGTCTTCCAAACCAAACTATCCTATGATTTTGTCCTGTAGCATGAATTGCTAAAATAATAAAACAATGCAGTTTTCTGAGTTTTGAGGTCCTAGAAAACTAAAATTATGGTGCTAGGTTTTAGTCTATTTGGTTAACCAGTGCATTCAAAATGTTAATGGCTCCCATTGTTTTTTATAGTTTTGATCTCACCACTTATAGTGACACTAATCTTGGACTTACATTATTTACTTTTCAGTTTATGATGATTTCAAATGATGCTGCAGGACCAAGATATGCTGCTGGGCATTTAGAACTAGCTTCTCTTTGCATTCTCCACAAATGAGAGCCTGAGACACAATAATAAATGTAACAACCATAAAAGCCATAAAAGCAACTTTATATTTTATTTTATTGAATAGGATTTTTAAAGTTTTATAGCCTGTCCTTGACACAGATGTCTTTGGACTCCACAGCCAGCTAGATGTTATTGTAACTATATAATAGTGCTTGTGATATGAAAAGTTGTCATCTTTTATTGTCAGTGACTGTCTACAAAGTGCATGTGACAACTGGAGACCTGTGGAATGCTGGAACTGAGTCTGATGTCTATATTTCTGTCTATGGAGAAAGAGGTGATACAGGATCAAGACAGCTGCTCAGGTCACAGAAACCCAAGAAATTTTTAAAAGGACAAGTAAGTGAAAGGGCAATTTTTGATATGTTTGTCTGGCTTTTCTCTCTTGGGTGGGTGGTAATTCCAAGAAAGGTGCAGTTAGAAAAGAGAGAATTACTACATTCCAATGGCTCCCCAAAATTCCCTAATTAAGTTCCAAATACTTTCTAAAGTTATACCAGTGCTTTTGGAAGTGAGAATTTTCACTTATAAAATAGGTAAGCTGTGTACTTTTGGTTTACATGCCTCTAAAAATTTGATCTAATAAACAAAGAGGAAATGAAATTTAATTTTATATCTGCATTTCTAATGTTGAAATCTGTTCTAATTGTAATTTTTTAGCTTTTGACGCTTTTAACAGCTTTCTCTTTCCTGACTCATCCCATTCATTTGAATGGCACTATTCCCATTAGCAAAGTGATTTTTCTTGCTTCTACTTCTGTTTTGGGAAACCTGACCTTCCTCTTTTGCTCTCACTTTATCATCAGTTAATATTTCAAATTATGGTCTTGACAAGAGCTATATTGACAAAGTTGTAAGGGTTAGAGAAAACAAAGTCATAAGGGTTTTTAGTCTTCAGAATTTCGTGACTGAAGAATGCTCTGCATTTCAGATTTTTCTGAAATTTTGTTGGTTGATTACAGACTGACATCTTTGCTGTTGAAGCTGTGCACCTTGGATGTTTGTACAAGATTGTTATAGGACACAATGGGCTTGGATCAGGTCAGAAATCTCACCTTTGCTCTACTCTTAACCATTATGTTAAGAACAGCATCTGATAGTAATTTTTTACTAATCCCTGTTAAAAACTGTGAGGAGGGCTAATGTTTTCATGTTAAGACATTGATTTTGCCTTGTATTAAAGTTAAAATGAGCTATTATAATTTTAGATGGATTAGCATTATCAGTTGCACTGTAAAGGTGCAATTGAAGATTTTTGTAACACTATCTTGTCATTAGACTCCCAATTAATGGTGAAACTTAAAATGCTTGCAGTCACAAGTTCTATTTTTCAAACTCTTGAACCTAAATACTAAACATAGCAACTTTGAGCCATCATAAACTACTATCTAATTTTGTTGTTATTTTGAATGGCCAAACTAATAAGACTCATATGATGGCAATGCTAAAGGAGGGAGGGATGTAGCCAGGGAGAGACCCAGCAGCTTGCAGGCCCATAAGGAAGCTCTAGAGTACCTAGAGCAGGCACTATCCTCCCTCCAGCCATGAGGGTAGCTGTGACTCTTTAAATATGCCAGTGGAGCTGCAGATTTTGCAGTTCCAGTAGAAGAAAGAAAACTACAGGAAGTCTGACATAATTAAATGCATCAATTTTTCTCTCATGAACAATGTTTTGTCTTTTACTTTATTTCTTCTAAGGAAATGGATGGTTTCTGGACAAAGTTGTAATCAAGGATCCTATAACAGATTTGGATTATACTTTTCTTTGTCACAGGTTGGTTATGTTTGATTTGGGTCAGATTTTTAATAAATTTGTAACTACTCTTAGTTTTTCTACTGAAATATCCTGTAAGGGGAAATATGTGTTTCCTAATAAGTGAGTTGAGATGGTCTGATTCTTTTTGCAGTTTTAAGAGTTGTATCTGGTCAAACACCTGGTCTTTGAACTAAGGAAAAAGCAATAAAGCATTCTGTGTGAGAACTTTCCATTCTTGCACCTTTTGAACTATTCAAGATAGGCTTTTGTTACATATTTTCCATATCTAAAACCTTGTATCTGACACTAAGTGGGTTCGTCTGTTCTTCCATGTCATGCAATGCAAGGCTTTCCAGAAGAGTGTCTTGCTGTCTCTCGGGCAAACTGTTCCTGTTTACTGAAGTTAGTATGGAGATTAGCTTGGGGTTCACTGAGCTCAGGATCAGACTTTAGCATCCTGTGAAATGACAATCACAAATGCGGATGCCTGACCACATCCCCTTTACTCATTTGCTTTGAACCTGTCACTGAGCTGCAATGTAATTTGAAGCAATCCTAACTTTCCCTGCCTTTTCCCCCGCAGATGCTGCTGCTCTGATTCTTCTGTTCTACAACTCATTTACAGTTTTATCTATGCCTGGTTAATTCTCAACACCTTGTGAAAAAATCTTAATCAATTAATATCAGTGCAAATATTAGGAACAGTAAAGTCCAGTCACGTAAGAATCTAGCTGCAGCTTGCCAGTGGCACCCCAATTCTATTTCCTCCTCTCACTTCTCTGAGTGAATAAATAACTGCCTGAGACAGCCCAGAGTGAGTGATGTGCACACTGAAACTGATTTATGTGTGAGTAAGGGCTCTCTGCCTTTCAGATACAGCACCTCATCCTTGCCTGACCTAATTCTGAGTCTGTATTCTAGATGAGATGAACTGCTATGAAGAGATCTATAATGCTGGCTTCATACATAATTTAGGGAGAGTTCAAATCCATTTCAGGCAGAAAAATACAGAGTATGTGCTAGTTATTGTTAGAGCTTGATGCAGTGCTTGCTATCTTGCTCTGAGTGTGTGAATGCTTTTGACTCAAATGGAGTTAGACTTAACTTGCATAAGTAGATGTGTACAAAGGTATTGTGAAAGCATAGTTCAGACATAGTGAAAGTGTTGCCACTGTTGGGTTTGTCCCCTCACATAGGGATTTTCAGGGCACAGAACTATTTGCATCTTGCTGTAGCCTTCTTGCAGACAGGAAGAGCAAACATCATGACCACTGCACAATTCATTATTGATCTGGGATGAATATGAGTTCTTTGACATGTAACAATTGAGTTAGGCCCTTTTACCTAGGTCTGGGAAAGCATTTATTTATGTTGCACCAAGAACAAGAAAGAAAAATAATATTTTTGCCAATGTTAATCTCTTTTTACTAAAGCTGGATTTTTGTATTGCTGTTTGTCAGCCTTGGGACTTTAATGCTTTATTTAATAAGACTTTAATAGCAAGTATTGTATGCAAGTGTCATGTATACTTTGGAAGTTGCCAATAAAGGTTATTACTTAAAGAGGTTCTGGTTCTTAGGTGGCTGGATCAGGGACAGGATGATGGCAATATTTCTAGAGAACTGCCTGTGACAGATGCCAGCATGCTTCCAGGAAGTAAGTGAAAATTGGTGGAAAAGAAAACTGTCTAAAAGGAAATTAAGAATCTCTGTAAATTAATTACACTGTTTTTATCTACACAGGACAAGAGCTGAAACTCAAGAGAGAAAAAGCTGTAAGAGTATACCCTTTTATTTTAATTTAAACCACTGAAATTATGCTTTGAGTGAAACCAGGTCAGTTGAATGCCTTGTATGACAAATTTCTGTGTATCATCTTATAATTCTTCTCTGTTTGTTGTTCACAAAACTAGTGGGCTGCAGAAAAATGGAAATTTCGGAAAGGCATTACACTTCAATTTTACAACAGGGTCACCTGTGGCTTCATTTGCCTCTACCCAGATAGCAGAGTTGATGCTCTTGGTGACAAGAAAAATAAATACGGTAAAGTATTTCCCATGTGGATGTATGCATAAGAGAGACAAGAAAGAAAGACTTTAATACTGAGATTCCTAAAATGGATAGGAGTGGATAATCATGCTAAACATTTTCCTTACTTTAAATATACAAATGTTAATGACTATAAGGATGCAGAAAATATATGCTTAGTTTACACAAACACAAAAATTCTCATATGGTGTCTTGTTACTGGCTTTCCTTTACCAAATAGAAAAGCTTCCTGTAGTCTGTAGTTTGATGCTCCCACAGAACTCACATGGCAAGGACAGCTGGAGTCTTTTGAAACTAGATCCATCTAAGATAACACGTTCAAATTTAGGTAGAGTTCATTAATAAGGAGTATATATACGTGTGTGTACATATGTATGTAATATATATGTGTGTGTATATGCATAAATTAATTTTATTCCATTTTTATAATTTATTTTAATGGCAGTCTATCAGTCCCACCCTTTATAAACTTTCCTCCTACTGCATTAGTAACACTTAACTCTAGTACATATCATATTGGGTACATGTGTTTTATTCTCTTGGAAGTGATGGAACTGTTCAGTCTTTCTGACATCTCACCAGGGACTTTACACAGGGACCTTACACAAACCTTTTATGAAGTGATAGAATCTTTCAGGTCACACCAAAGAATGCATCAGGACACCACAGGATCCCTCCAGGACAGCTGCATCTTACAAAACTGCAACATAATAGAACAGTTGCTTAAAAACTCACTGTTGTGCCTGGGAACAATAAAAATGGCAAGAATTTACCTTTCATCAGTATTTAGTAGCTATAAGAGTTAATTGTTTGGAAAATTGGCCAGATTTAAAATTTGAGAAGCCATGAGTTATGTTGCAGGATTTGCTTTACAAATTCTAATATGGATATAGAGAAAATGAGGTCTCTTTTCTTACCTGAGAGCTTTATGTTCCCTACATCATCTGTTATTTATCATGTAAATTAATTTCTAGAGCCCTGTTCGTTATGCTGGAGTTCTCAGCTCCTTTTTATGGATTTTTTTCTAAACATATGTGCTGATAAAAATAAATTTGTTCCTTATCATTACCTCTCAGGGCTTTTCTCCTCAAGGCAGCAAAATAGACAGTAGTCCCTAGATGCCCTTTCCTGAACAAGTGAGAGAATTTATTGATCAGAGAGGTCGAACTGTTGAGTTGAACGCTTAATTAATTATTTTTCCTTGAAAATTATAAACCATCAATTGCAATTAAATGCAAATATGAATTAATAGACTTTCATGTTTCTGTCTTTTTTAAAAATTTAACTCTTAGGTCTTTTTGATGTAAATGTCAAAAGGAGAAATATATGTATATTCAGCAGTCATCAAATGCCATCTCTTGCTCTTGCTCTTGTCAGTGGCCGTGTAACTGGAAAGGTAAGAAATGCTGTTACTGATTCCTGCTTCATAAAGATATGCCATTGTCTGATTAAAAAAAAGTTTTAAAAATCTGTCTATTAAATAATTGTACTTCCAATCAGACAAGAAGTAAAGAATTGCAGAACTGAACTCAGGAAATTGCTGATAAATAGATGAATTTAGAGATAGGGATTTGTTTTCTCACAGTTTACTTTTTATTTTTTGGTTAATTTCTTTAATTCAGAAATACCAGGCCATTCCAAGATGTCATTTATATATTTTTTTGTCACATGCTGACAAGCTACCTGGAATGCCCTAACAGCTCCTCTTTTCTGAAAAGGAAAAATTCTCTTGCTTTATTTTAAATGCCCCTTTTTCCTTTGTGTTTTTTATTTTTTTTCAAGTAACATGCCAGTCATAAGACAGCTGGTATAATCCAGGGTTTGTTTGGATGCATTTTGATTTGTTTTAGCACAGCTTCAAAGTTTTACTATGAAGTTAGTTTACAAAGTTTTCTTCCTCAGCACTTCCAGTATACAAGTAGGTAAATGGAGTTGTAGAATTCCATTCCTTCTGATTGTAGAATCAGAGAATATCCTGAGTTGAAATGGACCTGCAAAAATAATAGAAATCTGACTTCTGGCCCTTCACAGGACAGCACCAAGAGTCACACCGCGTGCCTGAGAATGTTGTCCAAACACTTCTTGAGCTCCATCAGGCTTAGTGCTGTGACCACTCACTGGGAGCGCCTGTTCCAGTGGCCAGGCACTCTCTTTGTGAAGAACTTTTTCCTAATATCCAATTGTCATGACCTATCCCAGGAAATGCGAGTAATCCAGGTTCTTGTAAAGGGACCCCTTAGGGCTGGTTAGAGTGAAATGGCACTGGATGATCAATGTGTGTAAATATATGCACAGGGTTTAAATGAGGAATGCAGGTGGGAATGCCCAGGTACCTCCCCTCCTGCAGTCCTCTGGTGAAAGGCCTCAGAAATGAGCCTGAGGGTGCTTTGGGAGTCTGATGTTTTATGACAACTGTAAGGCATGATACCCGTCACTCAGGCAGTGGACGAACAAAAATGCAACACAAAATTGTAATTTGCCTTATAATACATACTTAATTGTACTTTGAGTACATGCTTACTCACATGCTTCATAACTACATCTAAAATACATATAATTTTCCCTCACTTTTATTGATATATTGAATCTGATAGATAGCTCTTTTAGCTTTTTTTTTCAGAAGGCAGTGCCTTGAATATGAAAAGTTTTCCTAGAAATATTGATTCTCTGTAGTCTTGAAAATTCTAAGATGATGTAAATAAGAAGTATTATCAATTATTAGAGGGATTCTTAGCATTATACATTGATTACAATTCTAGTTTTATTTAAATATGAGAATGGTGATGGGTTGATATGTTATGGGTGGAATTATTATGTATTGATAAATTTTTTGATAAAATATTGAATTACATATTTTTTAAAATGGGATCACAGAGCCTGCCAAGCTGAACAGGCAAATATGGACTGTGTTGCTTTACTCTTTCAAGTAATACTTCTGATTCTCTGAGTGTTTTCTGTGAGAGCAGTATAAATGAATGAGAATATACACAAAGGCAAGAGAAGGTGAACTGGTGGCAAAGAGTTACCATGGCTCATTTCCTGTCTATGTCAGCTTTATACTTTTTTGCCATCTTTATAGGCTGTGGCACATTCTCCAAGTGAGGCACCCAGGTATCTTTCATATTATTGCCAGATATGTGTCATTGTACAATGAACTATTTCTGTCCACAGAGCCCACAATTTCACAATTGCAAATCTGAAAAATGGAAAGATTTTTGTACTAGACTGCTAGTATTGTGGGAATTCAATCAACACAGAAACTCTGCTGCGATACTCTCTCTGTTGTTTGGATTTTGCCATATAGTTAATATAATTTATTATTCCTTCTTTAATATGTTAGGCCAAAGACAAGGCCTGCTGTGAGCTCCATGTTCACGTTCAACCAAACAGCCGTGCCATTCTCGAGTCAGCCAGCTACCCAGGTCACACTGTGGCTTTCAATCTCCAAGGCAAAGTAGCTGATGAAGCAACGGGATACGCTGGGCTTTCCAAAGAATTTGTTGTGCATGTCAAGGTAAGGTGGGAAGAGAAAAATTAGGAGGACCCTTCCAAAATTTGGTGTTATAAAGCAGATTGTTTCTAACGGAGTTTCAGAGGTTTGCGAGGTAAAAAAGGGATCCTCTTCCACGAGGTGGAGCTCAGCTACAGTTTAACAGGTAGGCAGCGCTTGAGAAGGTTTTCCCTTTACTGCTCTCCCGGGAGAGCGGTGCCGATGCCGCAGCAGGAACATGCAAATAGAGTGGGCAGTAACACAGGAAAGATGAGACCCTAAACTTGCTAGTAAGACCTTCAAAAAGTAGCACACGAGAGCTGCTGTTGAAAAGAGACAAGTTCCTTAATTTGCCACTCTCCTTGTTCTCTGGATGTTGTGCCGTGCTGACTGAGCAAGAAAAAGCAGAGATGCTGCAGAGTAGGGAAGGATTTCCACTGCTCTGGTTAGTGCCTGTGCAGAAAGCAGCAAATATTCAAAGACTGGAGGTATACTTGAATTACCCGAGACTGACTATTTTATCTTTTATGCAAAGACATGCATGAGTAAGTGCTTAAAACTAAATGGTAGGAGCAGTATCAGTATCTTGAATTACTCGAGACTGACTCTTTGAGTATACTTGAATTACTTAAGACTGAGTCTTTTATCTTTTATGCAAGGACATGCATGAGTAAGTGCTTAAAGCTAAATGGTAGGAGCAGTATCAGTATCAAAATTTAATATGGAGAAAAGCTGTGCTGTTCACAGAGGACTTTTTTTCTGATCTAAAGGGTGTGTTTCATCATGGTGCCATCATTCTGCTCAACACAAGTCTCTGCCAGGCTCTGTCCCTTAGACCTGATGGGAGCTGCAGTGGAGCAGGTCAGCAGCAGCAGGAATCCTACTGGAAGGTGCATAAAATCAGCTCTGGACTCTGCATGTTTGAAAGTGTGAACAAACCAAGAATGTATCTGAAGATCAAAGATGACCAGTGTGATGGAACAGTAAGCAGTTATTGTTTGTATTTCCCTCTGCAGATAGTTTGAGTAAATTGTCAGTGATAAGAGAGACTATTTTTTTATTTTTCTTGGATTAAAAATTACATAAAACTCTGCTCAGATTAAAAATGTTTCAAATCTTTTCCTTCATTTGCCAAAGCAAAAGCAGAAAAATATAGCAAGAGAAGGTGTTGTGTCAATTTGGCAGTTGATGGAATCAGTAAAGGTCTGACTATATTATTAAACTATTGAGAATGTGGATGTAGTTAAAACTTATGTACTGCTAGATAGATGATGCTGATAAAACCCATTAAAGAATAACTAAGATGTGAGTGACTCTATACTTCACTGACTTTTAAAGTGTGATTCTGTTCATCTAAGTTAATAAATGTAAGAAATATTTTTGCATAATTCTTATTTGGGAGTTTAAGACAACTGAATAAGAAATTGAGCTGTGTAAGTACTCAGATATAAGGTCCATGAGAGTATTTTCATTGTCTCCAGTACACTTCAGGGATTAAAATATTTGATCCATATTTTGAATATAGGCTTTGTGAGTATCTTATTTTTCAGCTGTGCTCCCACCAATGGATCAGGAAGTCCAGATAAAAAGTGACATTGGGTAAAGGTTTTGAAATTAAACTTGTAAATGCTATGAAATTGAGGAAAAAATGTATTACATCTATTTAATACATGCTATATTATACAGCATTAGCAAATCTGGGCTATGCATAAAATTTGTATAGAGATATCCCATGTGTTCTGATATAGATATTTTCCCATTCCTTAATCATCTGGAAACTGTGGGAAAAGTGGGAAACACCTTTGAATATATCCTATCCCTTGCCTAAATCCTAATATACATCAGAATGCTTTCACTTGGTCTTTCACTTACCTAACTTATGTGATTAGTCTTTCTGGTCACAAAGGAATAAACTGGGATTAGGTGCAGGTATGTCTTCATGTGTGTAGTAATGTATCGTGTTGTGAAGAATGTAAATTAATCTGAAATATTACTGGAAAGTAGTAATAATTAAGATTATTAAAAAGTCTTCTAGCTACATTAATTTAATTGTTGAATTCATGTTTCTGTTGTCAATTTCTTAGGGCAAGGGTGATGAATACTGTCATTTTAAAATTGAGAAGAATTTGGAAACTGGATCTGTGAGTCTGGAATCAGTGCAAAATAAAGGGATATATGTTGGTCTTCTGCCAGATGGCCAAACTAAACCAGTTGTTAACACTGGAGAGAGAAATATCTTTTTCTACCCACAGGTCATCAAATGTATGTGATTTCTCAATAGCCTATGGTTTTATTTAGTAATTAGTGTTTCTAATGGACAAAATTCAAAGCAGAAGTGTAACATATATATTGACACATTTTGCTTTGATTTCAGTAGCTTTAAAAGTGAAATTTTTTTTTTTTTTTTTAATTTCTCCTACATATTCAGTTAGCTTGATTCCTTTCCTGTAATAATAATAATAATAATACAGTGGATGTCAATTGTTTTACTACAAAGTTTTGAAAATGAGAATTGAAACAGGGGACAAGACAAGGACAGCATTGACTTCCTGGGTGTATTCCCCATTTTGGCCACAGATTTTGGAAGCCTGGGAAATGTTGTCTTGCTGCCAACTCTACCACAGCTTTTCCTGATTTTATAAGGATATTAGTAGACTTTCAAGAAGGCCTGTTTGGAAGTGTTCAGTTTCTTTTTTAGTGATGTGAAATGCATTGTACTCCCCACCCAGAATATTCATTATATTATGCCTCGGTCCCATAGTCAGATTTGAGAGCTATTGCTCTCAAAATGTTTCCTCAGTAGAGAGCTGATCTAATCAGCTAGCCAGGACTCCAAGATTTGGTCTCAGCACACTCAGGATCACTGTCATTGGGTAGCCTGCTTGTCTTTTCCCCTTCAGGAGAGCACAGTTTTTAATTTGGAGAAAAACTATCTATGAAAGATAGCCAACTGACTTAGACTATAACTGCAGAAAACACAATTCTACAGGAAATGTATTCTTATCTGGTGGACTTCACAGCAGACATCAGGAAAAGAAACAACCCATGAAAAGGCTAAATGGACACCAGTTTGCAATTGAGAAGTTTCTTGGATTTTTTCCAAACACAAGCAGAACATACTTATCCTAGCACAAAGAGTCTCAAAACCTACAACCACTCTTACAATTGTATATGTACATATATACAATTGTATATATATATACAATTATACATATATACATATGTATATATGTATACTGTGATGGAAGCATTATGAAAGTGACTGTAAACACATCCCTACTGTTCTGTCCCTGTTTGCTACAGGGTGATAGAAATATTTTAATCACTATGTCCTAGTAGAAATGAGGAAATTATTTTCCTTTATTAACCTTTGCGAAAGCAGTGTTTTCAATAGAAATTCTCAACAAGGCAGTGCTTACTGGAGTCATTAAATAAAGCTAAACATTACTTTGTCACAGTCTGCAACCCTCCTGAATCTGTGTTGCTCACTAAAAGAATATAAAAAGGAGCTAATATTTTCTATGCAAGCAATAAATAGTGTTGGTCTGGCATGTTCATATTAGCAATATCAATTTACTTTTTATTATTCAAATGGCCTCTAGCAATTTTTATTTCAGCATTTCCACTCTTAAGAAAACATTTTGGGGGTGGAGAAGCTTATTTTGGGGAAAGCAGCATGTTAACAAGTCATTTTATTCCTACATCAATGTTAAATTTTTGCTTAGATTTTTAAAACATTGAATGGACTTTAATTGGTATGTCAGTTCTGTTCCCAGTTTTTGTAGCATTCTGCTAACAATAGAGAAAGGATTTTGATGTCTATTGTGTGGAACAGCTATGAGATCTGTTGTTAGCTTCTGAGAAAGAAAAAGCAAATGGCTTCTAGCTAGTGACAGATTTTACATTTCATTGTTTTAGTTGGCCGGGAAAAGCCTATGGGAACATCTGCAGCACCCAAACAAGAGAAGAAAGACTTCAGAGAATCTCAAATCCAATCAGCAGAAGCCCTGGAGCCAGTACCTCGAAGGCTTTCAACTCCCCCACCTTCAAGTAAGTGGCAGTTTACAAACCAGCTGAGGTACCTGCTTTATGCTTGTCCTCTATGCCTGTTTGCAAAGACTTAGCTCAGGAGGGACAATGCATGGCTTTTCTAGATTATTGGATTATGCACTCAAGCATACTACATAAAATGCATTTCCATTTGCTCTTTTTCTAAAAGGAGCATTGGAATGTTGTTTATTGATAAGGCAACAATCAGCAGGTTGAGTAACTTGTTAAATAACTTCATTTAAAAAATTAATTAGTAACCTATTGCTTGAATATTTCTGTGGAAATTAAGAGGTTGATATGGTGCAGAACCCTATCTAAAGCTCACTGACAGAATGGAATATTTCTCATTTATACTGTAACACTCATGTTTTCTGCTTTATGGTTCACTGGAGGATAGAGGAAGGTTTTGATGCATTGCATGCTAGATTTATACCTATGATTTGGCAGGTAGGAGTTAGATAAACAATGTTCTGGTCATGCTTCTAAATTCATAGTCTAGCAGATGTGTTTTTCTAGAATAAAATGCTTTCTCTTTAGCTAAAGAAGTTGCTTAAATGGTCTAAGACAAGAATTTTTGGTATATTCAGCATTCAGCATCAAACTAAGGAACTAAACAACAAAACAAAAAAGGGACTGATACATCTCTTAAAGAGTGGGGATGATCATGTTTGCTTCCCGCAATTCTTATTTCAATGTACCCAAAGACCCTGACAGTCTGAATCATGTAATTTCATTACAAAAAGCAGGTGGGGTAAATGGAACCTACAGAGCTGCAAACATCACATGGAGGCACATTCACATGGTGGAAGCATATCTGTTACTATGAAAGAGCTTTAAAGACAAGATAATATTGCAACTTCCAGTATGAGAGATATGCTTACTCAGTTACAGGTGTTCTCAAAGGCATTTATGTAGCAAATCATTCAGGTGGGTTGCTGATTTGGTTTTGAACTTGATCTTCAGATTGTTTCAAGGTGTATGTGAAAAGTTTGATTATCTGAACAAGACATCACATCTGGCAGCCTTGTTCATAGGGTATAATGGGAAGCATTGAGCAAGATTTTAATTAAATTAAGTTCAACCAAAGTATTCTGGTTATAGTGAATCACTATAAATACTTAATTATTTTTGGAAATATTTTTCCATTTTTAGCTCAAAACACCCAATTTCTAATCTGTCAGACTTAGTCTTGTATCATTGTGTCACACAGCCTTCCTGAAGTGTGGTGGTTTGTCAGCAGATATGCTGTGTCTGAAACCCATGACAACAATACACAAGCCATCAAACCTGTTTTCAAAGAAGCTGGATGTTTTTAGGGTTGGATACAAAGGATCCTTTTATAGAAGCAATATCTGCCGTGAAATTGGTTACATAGAGTCTATAGCACTTTGTAAGTAGTTTTTTCAGCATTCATAAGTATAGATTCTGCTCATGGAAAATGAAGAGAAATATCAAAGGTACTCTGTCTTTCAAATAAAATGATCATTTTTTAGTAAGACACTTTTCACTTATGTCTTTTGACATGTACAGGTGAGCCTTGAGTTTTAAACTGATATGCATAAAATTCTTAATTTCTGTTTTTCACCCAGTTAATATTTGGAAAAGGGTGATGCTTGTACTGAGTATATAATACAGCAGTGGTCTTTGCAGGCAAACTCAGAGCAGATTAACTCTTAGCCTGACCAGACCCTCCTATTTATCTCTATGTCTGCTAACTGGTAGATGAATTTTGATTTCTGTTTTAACAATTAATAATTGATTTAGGATTTATTAAACTGAAAGCCATGCTACAGCATTTGAGACTTCTCCCATTGCAGTGTGAGTTCTGTGTTCCTCAAGAAACTTCTTTCACTGTACAGAGATGATGTCAGGTCCCAGCTTTAACTTAATAGCTCAGATGTCATTAGCTTCCGTGACACAAATGCAGTCTGTGACCCTGAGAACACCTCTGTGGTTTGGTATTAACAAAGTGTATCTCTGAGAAATACTCTCTATATCCCCCACATTCCTTTCCTGTATGTCTGACATTATTAGTTGCTATGAATTTTTTCATATCTTTTGCTTAGAATGTATAAATAAAATCTGATTTCATTTCCACCTCAGTTAACATTGGAAATGATGATACACAAAGGTGTAATAAAAAATACATCCACTTTATTGCCCGAACGTCTGCTCTAGAGATTAGTTTTTCTGATGGTTCATTTTTTAAAAGTGTCACTCAAGCATATCATTTTCTCAGACAAGATAATTTTCCTTTTGTGTTACATTTAGGATAAGTAAGTAAATTTAGAAAAAAAGTATTTCTGTGAAGTTGTGGAAAGGGTTGTGACTTCAACGTCCTCATGCAGGCCTAATAGAATTAATTTTTGTCACAATAGATTTACAGCATGGTGTCATGAAGTGTGTAAAATCCCATGAGTAATGCAGGGCAACCATCAAATCTTCTTTTCAGACTGGAATATTTTTAGCCTGTAGCAAATCAATGCTACTGATTTCCATTTGTAAGAAGAGACAGTAATTTATGAGGCAAAAAGCATTCCAAGCCTGTGAATTGTTTGTGCATTATTGTTCCAAGAGGTGGTAGCTGGAGGTTGCAGTAATTGTTTTGGGTAGTAACTGCCCAAATCTGGAGTTCTTGTCCTAACCACATGAAGCAACATGGCATTCCTTATGTTTCTTGAATACCTTTGCATTTTATGAACACTTTAATCTCTTTGATGTAAGAAAGTTGTAGTTTTGGATAGCTGGAAGGAAGTATAGCTTTCAGAGTTACAGGTGAGAAGTTAGGTAGCTACAGTTGCAGAAAATTGTATAGTCAAGTTCTCAAAAATGTTTATCATACCAAAGCAATTAGTTTGCTATAGTTCTTTCTCTGAAAGTGCAAATCACTGAAAGAGAAGTGTAATTAAGTTCTTTTTCTGGTGAACTCTGGATATTTGTCTCTTGCTTTATCATTGGAGTGTTGATTTTTCTTTTTCCTGTCAAAATAACTTGCTCTCAGTCATGATGAATAATACAATCAAACCAGCCAATATTGCCTATTCTGTATCACTATGACCAATCCAAAGTCATATTACTACTGTTAGAGGCACTGCTGTAAAAGTCATGATACTACAGTTCTGAATTTCTTAAAAATTCATTAACCAAATATCATAATCTTTGCCAATGCTAAATTTCCTCTTATTCTAGAAGTCAGTCTTTATTTATTGTAGACCTTTGTATGGATCTTAAGTCCTTTGCAATTCCTTGTGTTAATATTTCACATCAGTTTAGATATTAATGCTAGTGGATCATAATTCAGTTTGGGGGCTTTAGTTATCATGTTGATTTAAATATAGGACAACTTGATTATCCAACTGTATAATTCCTTTTGAATACAACTTTTAAAAAAAAGGGCTGCTGGTGGTGATAGCTTTTTCATCAATTGCTTTTTTGTCTGGTTTTGGTTTGATTTTGTTTGGTTGAGTGTTTGTTTTTTTTCCTCTGATGTAAGGGTGGTGTAATAAGTGAAGGGAAGAATTCCATCCAGAGAAACCCAGTACAGTATTTTAATCAAGCAAATAAAAAAGGAAAGGACTGTAATACCACTGTATAACTTAGGCAGTACAGCAGAAACATCCACAGTGATGCATTGGAAGTTCTTCAACAATTAATATTGGTGGCATATTAAAAATTCTCTTTGCAGTCACATGGAAAATGCTCATGTGAACAATTTGGAAACCCCTGGAGGACACAGTATATTGGCAATGTGCGTGTCCATATTTTCAAATTTAGTACTTACAACTGCCTGTTGTGTCCGAACAAACTATAAATTCCTGGCAGCAAGGACTCCATGGTCATTGGAAAGTAGTGCTCCAGACATCTGATGTTTGTAAATTTCACTTTGATTAAATTACTCAAAACTAAATTCCTTTCCCCTAATAAAGTCTAATTTTTCCATATCTCCTGTGCAGAGGTGTCATTTGCTGTCTCTGCATGTACATTTGTTTCTCTTAAGGGTAGATGGAAGATCACTGGGTTTTGCTCTAAAATGAAGCCTATGTTTTACAAAATTATATTTGCTTAGCCATTAGAGCTGTGAAATTTATCCATAAAGTGCTACTGTGCTGCTGTTGTCTCATTCATGCAGAGCATGACTTAATCCAAATGATGGCACTGCATAAGTATGGTTAAGCAAAGCTGTATTGAGGTATTTTTAATTTTTTTTTACAGTATTAGTTGTTATTTAATTTGAAGAAAGTTAATTTCATTATTTCTTTTTTTATTTGAAATTAAAATTGTCTGTATTCCTAGACATGTGACTCTGCTAATGATGTCCCAACACAAGGCATTAGAGGAGAAATTCGACTTGTTTCTAAATGTCAGACTAAGAAGCCAGAAATATCAATTGAATGGTCACAGTTCTGCACCATAGCATCCTTACTCTGCTCCAGAATATGTACAAAAAATATGATGATGGCGTGTGTGAGAGATAACTTGTTCTTTTCCAGCTGATTCTTGTAGCTCAACTAATCAGTACATTTTGGTCTAGACAAGAAACATAAATCAATCTTTTCAGACTATCTCACTTGCCATGAAAAAATACAATCCCCTTGCTGTTATGGCCTTCTTATGTGCTGAAGTTACAACAGCAACTGGCAGTTTCATGTCAATTTTCATCTCCCACTAACGTTCTGTATTTCACAGAGGAAATGAGAAATCCCCAAGGTGGTGAGCATCCCCTTCCTTCGGATGATGAATGGAAAGTGTCAATACTGACAGGAAATGCAGGAACTGAAGCAAGTGTCGCTCTTTGGATATATGGAGACAGAGGATTAACTGGACCAATAACTCTTGGCAAGGACAGCAGAAAGCAGCTGTTTTTTCCCATGCAGGAAGATGAATTTCAGGTAGCTAATGAAGGATAAGAACATTATTTTAATAGGTACCTTTCCAAGGATTATCCTGGCGTGTGAAAAGAAAATAATGTTTTCCTCCTATATTTACTGCATAAAATAAATCTGTATCTAATTTCTATGAATTCTGTGTTAAATCAGCTTGTTATGTATAGTAAACAACAGAGGAAATAATCTTTCTTTTAAACCGCCTCATTCATATAGATGATCAAATGGGACAACTGCAGAAGTGAATTGATTTCTTTAAGGCAATTGATTTGAAACTAGCTTTAAAAACTATTTTGAAACAAACTATGCCTGATATACGACTTGCATATTGTTTAGGGATCTTTAGTAATTAAGTTTTCAGGCATACAGTTTTCAAAGCATAATATAAAATATATCCTGTGGAACTCATTCAATTAAAGAAGAAAACCCATTTTAGAGTTGCCATATTATAAGTGATTGAAATGCCAGAAATATTTACCTGTGGAATAACTAAAAGTCCAAGGAAATCTATGTGTTACCATGTCATGAAAACACAGGGTTTCTGCCTTTATTTGAGGATAACTCCACCTCTGTTTTAATAAGGAAATTATGTCTAGGTAGACTGAGAGGAAATTACCAAAGGAGCTAAAATTTCTGTTTTGCTTAAATCTCTGTCTGAGATGCATGTAACATTGCTGTCTTCGGTAGCTAAAGCAGATGTTACATATTTCATGATTTTTTTCTGGACTCATCAACTCTTCTAATACAATCTTCATACAATCCAAGATTGCTACTGTCAATGACATTAATAATAATAATTATCTCTATGAATAGGGCATAGGTAGGGAGACAACCTACCCATAACATTCATTTTCTAAGCATATAGGCTATAGATCATGACCCACAGGGAATCCTGTTCTCCTAATTAGTAACTAATTTATAAGCAATGTTGGATAATGGCATGCTTGCAACGTTAATCCATATGTTCAGAAGAGATGGACCAATTTTTCTTCTCTAAAATGGATGTGGCCCATTATGGCTGTGTGCTGCAGATATTGATCTTGTGAGAGAGCAGGATCTTTCTCTCAGCACCTGGGGCTACTCCTAGGGTTTGTTACATCACATTGACACTATAGCTCTCAGGCATGAAACAGGAAATGTCACTGAAGTGCTTTTCACTCTTTAGTCTGCAGTGGATAAATCCACAAAGAAAAAGCATATGAGTAAGAGCTCTTTTTTCTCTTTTCCCCCTTAAACTTTATCCTGTACTTGTTTAACAGAACAGGTCTCGAAATGAGGATAGGAATGTAAGACATAAAAAAAGATACATCTTCTTCTTACCACTTCTGTCTTTGAACTTTTATGTTTTTACTGATATATTCTAGAACAGACAATACCAAATTTTATTTTTAAAGTAATCATCTTAATCATAGCTCTGGCCAGGAGTTCTAGGAAGAAAGCAGCTTCTGAAAGGCTAAAATAATCTAGCAATTAGGAATTAGTTTAAAGTTCTTTAACCTTTCATTTATCAGCAACATGTGCAACTATGAAATGTTTGAGTAGAGCTAACCTAAGAACTGAAAACCATTCAATAAGTGGCCTTCTCTTTCTTACCTTACCTTACCCTACTCATGTGAGTTTTCATTGCCTGCTTTATCATTCCTAAGACAGTGCATGAGAAAAATCAAGACTACCAGAGTGTTACTTCAGGAAGACCTATACTTGTTTTAGGAAGAAAACACGCTTGCATTCTGACTTAGTCTACCACATTTTGTTTTGTGTTGTGTTGATACATGAAATTATGTGCAACCTTTTTTCTTTGTTAACTAAAAGTCTGAAGAGGAATATATGCAGTGAGCACCAGCTCTGTGAATGAGAATACCATATCCCATATTACTTGAGAAGTAGGTTAGTTAGTTTGTTTGTTTGTTTGTGAAATGAGGGAAAGAAAATACCTCTTTTTTTTGCATTCATACTGAATATATGTCCATACCTTACTGCTGCTTTAACTTCAAGATCTCCAGGTTACCTCCAATAAGACTACTTTTAGTGGGGAATAATTTGCAACATAAGCAAGGCTATGACTCGGCAGAGGAAAGCAAAGCTATTTTCTTAAGCCAGTGTTGCAAGCCTGATGCTCACATTTGTTTGGTTGATGGAATTTGGTTGATGTAACAATACAAATTACATGTGTGAAACCCAGAGATTCTGTCTCAAACCACCATTATGAAATTCCAATGTGCATATTAATGTTCAGGAAATCCAAAGTAGAAGTTTTTTGCATTTAACAATCTTTGACTAAAGCATGACAATGCTGTGACTATAACATAAAGTATTCTTACATAAAAACACAAAGAGCCAAAAGCTGATACAAGAAATGAGGTAATTCTGGCCTCTGAAATGAGAAGAGTGATTTTTGTTAATGAAGGCAAAGAATGAGTGGATAATATACTAATAGGTGTTTCTAAGAGGATGAAGATAATTTTTGTCCAATGCAAATAGCTTTCTGGATGTAAATGGTGGAAAGGAATAGGCTGTTACCAATATTTTATGAATAGAATTATTATTTGAGAAATAGCATAATAAAACACTCTTCCTTTCCTAAAGGTATCTAAAATTATTTATGCTTGCTTCAAATAGTGGTTAAACTTCAAATGAACCCTAGATAAGTGAGGGTTCATTTAAATTTTTGAAGATAGGGTTGCAGAGAATAGTTTTATAAGTAAGAGCACACATAATGCCTGAAAAGGCAAATGAATGCAAATCATAGTCAGAAAGCAAATATAGCATCAGAGACTTCTGAAGTTTTGCAGATGTTCTGTCAGCCCTTGGGAGCTATTCTTTGAGGTCTCCAAAATTTTATATCCTTCATGTTGATGTATTAGAGTTTATGGTCATCTGTGCAGAATTATGAAAGATTTGTGACTTGTAGTCAGAGGATATAATTTTGTTTATAGGATGTTATTTTGTATTACTCATTTTTTTTCATGAACAGCCCTCACCAACTTTTTTTACTCTTGAAACTGAAGAGTTCAAATACCTGCCAAATCATTCTCCTGGCAAGCATTGTGACTCCAGTAGCTGTAATCTGGTCAAACTAGGACTCAGACAGTAATCTGCTTAGTCAAAACAGAAGCAATATGTTTATTGAATCATATAACCTCAAATCTGTCCATCAAATATTATCTGTTGTTTCTGAACACTCAGATACTACAGTGGTTCAGATAAATCTAGTATCAATTGCAAAGATAATGATGTAATTCTATGTAGTGATACACTGTACTGTTCTGACTTTATTCAGGTTAAAATAAACAGCATTGGGAATATCTACAAGATAAGAATTGAACTTGATGGCCTACCAAATGAGCAACCTGAGTGGAACTTGCAGCGGGTGAGATTTTACAGTGATTTTGTTCCTGTTTTATTAAATTTATGTGAAATAAAGGCCCATCTTTTCATAAAGACATAAGTTTATGAATCAATAAATGCTGATAAAGTTCATGTCCTAAGGGATGGAAATATGCAGGATTATTTTGGAATTATTCCTAATTCCTGCAGACAATAATTTTATTGTATTGTTGTGCTTGACCAAGTTTTGCCTTTTGAAAATTTGCCGTACTTTTTGATTTTTCTGTACTCTTCAGTGTGTGTTAGGGAGATTCTAGCTTTAAAAAATTGATGGAGCAGCAAGTTGCTGCATGACAGCAACTTGCAAGGGATGAATAAATTTTGCTTAAAGGTAAACAAAGTAAGCTGTAACAGGCACCATAATTTCTCATAATTATGAATATTTTCAGGGGAAAAAAAAAGCTGCTGAGTTTTTTTCAATTCGGTGAATAAATTCTGCTTCTTTATTTTGTTTTAATTCTATTTTTCTCATGATATTTAGGAGAATATATCCTAAATAAAAAGAAAATTTATCCCCAGGCTACATTTGTTCTAAATGCTTCCTAAGGCTGACACCCATGTAAAATGTATTTCAGAACTGGGATAAGAAATTTTTGTCTGTTTCTTGTGTTGAATTTGTAAAGGAAACAAGTTTATTCTTTTTCATTTGAATAATATTAAAAAGGTTGATTTAGACAATCAGAATTAGGCAATAATAGCAGATTTTTACATTAACCCAAAGGTATTAACTGAGACTGTAGTAAAACTGAATGTAAGCATAAATATTCCACTCTCCAGCCTGGTGGTTACTAAATATTTCTTTAATATTTTGCTCCAAATTTAATAAGGTAAGCCAGGGATTTCAAAAACTTCATTTCAGATCAAGAAATAAACCATGTTGAAAGCTGTATTTTCCTGAAAAAGCAGTTAATATATGCAATTGTTATGAATCAGCAGGGGGGTCATTGCCAGTAAATATTAGAGATTAGAAATCAATGCTGCCAAACTATTTCATGTTAGAATAAATACATGCTTTGGTGTTGAAAGCAGTGTTCATTTTACTTTAAATAACATTTAAATAAGATTGCCCTTATTCCCTAAGTGTTAGAATTTGGATGCGAGTACGTGTTTTCATAATTTCTTTGCAAGGCTTATGCATATTATATGCACACTCAGAAATGCAACTGCAGAAAGATAATTTTTGATTTCCTTTTGCTAGTCAAGACCTCTAGAAAACCCCTGTAGTAAGAATTGTAATTCAAGACCAACAAAACTACTTTCCTAAAAGATAATAAAGAGTGATGTAATTATAGGAAAAAAGGCAGCTAACTTATTGTACAGCAGCAAATAACTCTAGAAATTAGAATTCTAACCATCTTAAGAATATATAGAGGGTGATGTACCAAGAGGTACCAAGGTTGTTTTTTGTTTTGCTGTAGAATAGTCAAAGATAATATAAATTGATTTAATATTCCAATATATCCTCTACTTGTCAAAGTTCAGAAGGATGTAGATGATGAGTTTCATCCTATTTTCATTCTAAAATAAAAAAAATCTGTGTCCATCTTTCCACATCTTGCAAAACCTCAGTGTCATGTAACAGCAGCTACCACAAGGTTTTTAAGTCTTCAGTCCTCCAGGCAGTGTTACATAGTGGTGGTTTACTCGCTGAAACCAGACCTGATGGCATTTCAAATGGCAAACACACAAATTTCAGCTGCTGATTTGTTTGTTGCATAGTATTGGCCAAAATAAAATTATTTTCATACTGAAATTTTGTACGCCGTATATACTGATTGCGTTACTTTTTTCTGAGATATAAAAAAAATGTACAAAAATATGTTTTGCTGTTGAGAAGCAAAGCACTGGAACTGAGTTATATTTCGAATTGCATCTCCTTCAGGTGATACTGCCACATCTAAAGAGCAAGAAAACACTGAATTTTCCAGCAAACACATGGTTATCAAAGAATTATCATGATAGAAAACTTCTGTGTGAACTTCCTGTAGTGGAAGCTGGAAAACCTATCTATCCAAGTATGTGTTTTTTATTTATATATTGTTACAGTTATATAAACAGTTATTTATATATTGGCTACCTGGTTTTCAGTGTTAATGCCAACTGAATTGCGGTCCTAGCAATCTTAAAAGTAAATAGTTTGACTGATTTCTGGCGATTATCTTCCAGAGAACTAATTGCAGACCAGACATACTGTCATTGTTATCATTAAGCTATAATAGTGACTAAAATTAGTTGTGATTACATATAACTTGAAATTTCTTCTTTTGGTTATTTCTGGAAGTTGTTTTATACCATGTTTATGTCCACACCGGTGACTTGGAGCAAGCTGATACAGACTGTGCAGTTTATTTGTGTATCTATGGAAAAAGAGGAGATTCTGGTCTAAGACTTCTGCATAAAACTGGTACACCAGCGCCATTTCAGAGAGGAATGGTAAGTCTGAAAAACAATTTGCTTAGCCTTGTGAATATAGCTAAGTAATTGTATACATATTATACAGGTTCCTGATAATAGTAATAGAGCAAACCACATAAGTTTAGCTAAATAACTTTTAAAAACTAAGGAAAATATTTTTCTATTGACCCAGGATTTCATAGAATGAGTGAAAACATAGGCAGGAAAAGGGAAAGAAAAATTGTTTGAGGGCCTCACCCACAGATGGTGAGAAGAGCTGCCTATGAATTTAAAACATATAGTTTCAAAGTATGATGAGCTACAGATGGCTCCAAACAACTGTACAGAAATTGTTCTCCATGATTTCAGATCTTTGTAGATCCATTTTGATTATGCATTTCTTTTACTGCATAATAGATTGTAAAGTATTGTGATTAATACAGGACAGACTTAAAGTAATTTTTCTTTCAATTTATTACCTCCTAGCTCTTCCAAAAGTAAAATATATGACATCCTGATTATCTGCAGTATGGTTAAATTTCAGGAATTACTGAATTTAATGTTAACTCTGCTACTAGCCACCTTGTGATTTGCTATTGAGACTGTTTCTTCCTTTGTGTCTATTGTGGATTAACACTTGTATGCATAACCAGTGGTATCAAGCTGTTAGTGGAACACTTAATTGCAAAATGAAAAGCAGTACCTAAAGTGCTAAAAATAGCCATAACCCACTGGGAAGCTCTAAATGTAGCTATACTATTTAAAAATATATATGCTGCTACTAATGTATGAGAGATAAAGTTCTATTCAAATTAAAATGCAGAATTTAAGTGGAATTTTCTGGGGGGCATTATTCTAGCCAGATTGATGGTCAATTCAGCATATTATTTACACAGAGGTTAAGGGGAATGGTTCAAAGTGCACTTTGTTATGGAAATGGTGAGTAAGACAGTGGATTGTTTGGAGCGCTAGAGCAGGGACTTGGATATATTATTTTTGGCAGAGATAGTGGAATGCTGACTTGAACAACTTTATTTCATCCCTGCCACAGATATTCTGCATTATATTGAGCAAATTGCTTAAAATAAAACTTTCCTGAGTGACCAAATTTTTCATGTTTATGTATTGCTGCATAAACAGTTTAACTTCTCTGAACAACCATAGCTGTAACTGAGTTCAAATAGAATTCTGCTCTGCACACCTAGTAAGCTCTTTGAAATGCTAAATATTTCAGTAAATTAACCCCTCTGTTTCTCAGTTGAAGCATCTTTGACAGCTTTTGGCAGCAAACTCCACACTTTAACTATGTAGGTAAATTATAAATATTATGCAGAAAGCCTTTCAAAAAAGAGATGAAGCAATCGCAGAAAACCAGGGTGCTATGGGAGAAGTACAAAGGTGAAGTCACTGGGGAAATCAGTTCTATTTCACTGAGCTCTTTGGGTGGTTGCAGTAAATAATGCATAGAGACATAAAGATAATGAAGATAAAAAGAGATACTGAAATCTGTTTTCCTCCTGAGCACACTTTGAGGCAGGAGTCTTTCAGAGAGACTAGCTTGTGATCATATATTATCTATACACAAGGGATAAGTAGTCTTGCACAGGCAGTCTCAATTCTGCCATTTGCTGAGGACCGAGAACTTTACAGATATGAATTTTCCAGTGTTTTTCTTTCCTTCATTTTTTTTTATACTGAGAAGAATTATCTGGACCATTACATTTAGAGACAGAAAGCCTGTATGCTTTTTACTGGGACAGAAAATTGTCAACCTGAACCCGATCAGCTTCATGCTTCTGTGAAAATAATCTTTTCCAACTATAAGCACAAGCCTAAATGAATAACAAGGTGAAAATGCCATGTCAGATTTCAGTTTCTTTCAGTACAATGAAATGTAAGTAGAGGAGGTGAAACCAAAAAGAGAAAATTATGAGAAGGTCTGATTTAAAGTAATATCAACAAAGGAAATAACAGCTTTAAGTCTTTCTTACCTAGAGAAGAGTAATGTAAATGGCAAGACATTGAAACAATACTAAAGGGTTGTGTGCAGCATTTTGCATGATAGCTGTAAAAGCCAAGTTTTTTTTGGGATTATTACTGCATCCTTATTTTGGCTGTGCCTTCTTATTTACTGTGACACTTCATCAAAAGACATTTAACTCTTCAGAACCAAACTCATTGAATACAATCCAGCTCTAATTAAAACCAATTGTACATTGTGGGAATTGATCAGGCTTTTAACACACTTAAGGTTTTGGACTGCCTTATTGGTGGAAAATTGCAGAGTGTTGTCTCCTCTGTCGCCCAGGTCAGTGTTTTTGAAGTGGAAGCTGTATCCCTTGGGCAGCTGCAGAAGGTGCTGTTGTGCTGTGAGGCCACTACCAAGTCCCAGCATTGGTACTGCGATAAAGTCATTGTCAGAGAAGCCGAGAGCAACTCGGAATATGTTTTCAATTGTGAGAGGTAGTTTCTACAACAACATTCTTAAATATTCTTCAATATGTATTGCTAAAAGTATTGTGTCAATCAATGTACTGAATGTGAGTTTTTCTGGCAAAGATATTTTTTGATTATTTCACAGTTTCATAAAATCCACCAAATATGTTATTCCAGAACAGATTGCTTGAATTAATGTTCTGTATGATCTGTAGCAAAGGTTAATCACTTATATTGAGTCTGTGTTACTAGAATTAAGAGTACAGCCTTATCTTAGAGGATCAGTGCTGTATGTGTGATTTACCTTTCAGGAAGGAAAGATAAAGCACCTTAAATGTTCTAAATTAAGTGTATTTCTAAGTGGGAAAGAAGGTTTTCCATCCAAGATTAGCATTCACTGTCTTTACAACATGGCAGAGAGACAAGTGTGATGCCTGGTACTATTTTGTAGGTGTTCCATTTAAGTTATTAAATGAGCATCTTAAAAGTCAATTGATAAATATTTCATTTTGCATTTTTAGAAAAATATGGTATTTCCACTTTTGGAGTTTCTACTTTACATTCTCTCTCATAGGAGTATGCATGACTCAAGTGAAATAAAGTGAAAACAAACAATACGACTGTGTGACAAGGCACCAGAATAAATAACATTTAATTAATAATATTTAATGAATGCATGTTGTCTAGCTATTTTGTCTGGATTTTAATGAACATGTTACATAACCTTGAACAGCTTCTTCCAATTCTTGGTGTCACATCCTCAAAAACAAGGATAAAGATGTTTTCTTACCTTGATTAACTCTAAATCTGAGACTTTTCTTCAACCAGTAAGATGCTTATAAATAGAAGCATAAGACTAAGGATTTCTCTGAGCAGATTTGGATGCAGACCAGCTGCTGTTGCTAGCTATAGTTGCTACCTTTCTAAAAAAATATAGGTGAAATGTTCTTTGTGTCATAGCTATCTCTAGTGAGCAATATGGCTTAGGAATGATAAATGGCAGGGCACTTTGCTGTGTTAATTCTGTGATAATTAGCACCAGATGTTTATTATTCTGTGATAGAGAGTGTTAAAAAGAAACAAGTGTTTCTTTATAATGTGTAACTTCTTAACAAGGAAACCCTTCTACTGAAAAGGGATTAAAATAAGTCAGTGGTGGGGATCAGGTGTAGCTTCCATGTTTGCCAAAATGTACTTGTGCTCTGTTCATGCAGGGAGAAGGTTTTTACTCTTCAGAAATCTAATTCAGTAATCTTCAGGTTCACATTTATTTTATTTTACTGAGCTATTTTCTCATCCAGAACATGAAAAAAGTTCTGTCTTTGTTCTCATTTAACCAAAGGAACATAAGCATTTTATCTGTCCTAAAGACCTGATATTAGTTTCTGAACATCCAACACCTACTCAGTTTCAATTATACAGTATTTAGTAGTAACTGATAGCTTTTAGCATCAGGGATTTCAGAAGATACCTATGCCATCAGTTTTTAGCAGAAGTAATAGAAATATGTAGTTTAGTAAGAGAAAATTTATTTCTTAGAGAGTAGCTCTTATATGAATTGGCCAAGTAACGTTTTCAAGACAAAAAAATTGGAAACTTTGTAAGTTGCTCTGGGCTTTTCTTGCCCAGCTTGTATTGGAATCACAATAGGCTTCACAGGAGACTGAATGATTTAGGTCATTCCTGGAGAGTCTATGGAAGTGGACTGAGGAAATAAAAAACTACAGCTCAGGAGATTGATGCATTTCTTTTCTGGTAAAAAATGAGTTGATTTTTTACCAAGCAAGAGGAAACAAAAGCTATTGGTAATCCATGTTCTGAATGAAAATTTTCAAAATTATACATAGCCTATGGTAACATGACTAGGAAATCTAAAGAATGTTTTCTTGATTTGTCCTTTTATGAGATTCATTTACATGTCCTCAATTTAATAAGAAAGGGAATAAGAAAGAGAAGTGTTTGGTTCCATCTTTGTCATAAACACTGAACTGTAGTTTTAAGAAATATTGCAATAGATACATACAAATTATACTTACCTCTCAATCCATAGTACTGAAAAAAATGTTCTTTGCTATATTCTTCTGTTTAGCTATAGAAACAAGTACAGTAGTGCCATATGAGTATCTTAGTCTTATGCAAGTGTATTTTACACCTACATAGCCCTTACATTTGTACAAAAGAAGTTTCTTTTTTGAGTCAAATGATTTCTACTGTAACAAATCAAATACTAAAATTTTAGGAGTAGAGATCCATTGCTCTTAGGTGTATTCAGTATGAAATTCAAATATGGACCATTCAGTTATATGGTAATGTAAATAAAAATTGATTCCTACCTGCTTTCTTATTTTCTTTCTTATTCTTAGGTGGCTTCCATTTACGTCGCAAGGTATAACCCATTCAGAAATTGAACTGTACCCTCAAGGTAATATTTATTGTAACTTTATGGAAGTAAGAACAATAATTAGTGATCATTTTCCTCTGAAGAAATCTGGGCAGATTTTACACTGTAAATATCAGACTTAACTGATTTTGAAGCTTGCTTTGCTATATTTCTGAGAGAACATGATTTATATAATTGATATAGGTGATAATGAGAAAGTAGTGAGGGAACGAATGAGAAAGAGTTTTCTTTTATTGGCTAGAAAAACTGAATGTCTTTTTGATCTATTCTTTCAAACTTTTTCTGTAATATTAAAGGAAGTATCCTTTATTAATAGATTTTTTTTTTTGCAGAGTTTAAAAAAAATCAGCAGCTGAAAATGCAAGAAGCCAATGGTAAATACTGTTCTTGTTTTCTGACTTTAATGAAGACTCTTTCTGTTTCAGAACTAATTGCTTTACACATTTGTTGCGACTTGTATTTATTTAAAAACATTAATTATAGCAAACTATTTGGACATTTCAGTAAACCCCGAACTTCATATTTTAATTTAATAAATAACTTTGTTTATGCTTTGTTGTTATTCTGTCAGTTTTCTTTCCATAATGTTATTTTTCTTTCTGCTTTGAAGAATTCTTCTAGTACTTACTGGTCATCTATCTTAATTTCAGTTTTTTATGAGCTAACATTTAAAAACATGATTCTTTCCTAGTTCTTTCTAAACTATTGTTTAGAATAAAACTATATATAGTTTTATTCTAAACAATAGTTTTTCATTTACTGTTTTACTTGTGATTTCATATTTGTTCAGGTTGACTTCTCTGTCCTGGCAACCAGAGCAGATTAAATTTAATTTCTTAATAACACATTAGAATTTTTCAGCTATGAGAAGTGCTTCATGCTGTAGGATGAACAAAGATCTAGAAGGTGTTGTGAGAAAGTTTGAAAATGTTTTTTCACAATTTGTTGTATGGATCGGAATATCCATGAGGACCCAAATACCTTGTCCTAAACTTTGTTCCTATGGCAAGTGGGTAGCAATACAATTTTTGCCCAGTTATTTTAGAAAACATATTATAATCCTGCCCTGTTATAGGCTTTCTTTTGAATCACAAGTATCTTTGTCCTTTCTGCTTTCTATGCTTTTTCCAGCAGGCAGTAATTTGCTCTTTATTCATCACTCTGTGCTTTATCTGTTCCACACACCTCACTTTTGCATTCCCTGCCTTGAGAGATCTTCCCTTCCATAATTCGAATTCTGCACCTACAGATGGGTCTCTTGGCTGTGTCATTTAAGCTGTGGAAAAGGATCAACCAGAGCAAGGCAGCCAAAAGTGTATGCAACAAATAACCTCTTGTTTGGGACACTTTGTAAAACATGGATCAGTGGGAAAGAGACTTGAAATTGTGCATTCTACACCTAGACCTAGAGGGACTGCTCCAATTCCTGGTTTAGTGGTTCATCTCAGAGTTTGTTTACTTATTTTTTTTTCCCATGAGCTTTTATATATATTGCATTTTCTTTCTGTGTCGCTTTAAAAAAACCACAGAATTATTTTTCTAGGAAGCAGAGCTTTCTAGTGTATTGTAATGTTTCAAATAATATAAGAGATTGAAAAAAGAACAGAACAAAACATATGTCTAGACAGTCATCTGTGGCAAGTTACCACTTTCTGATGTCCCCAGAACCCCAGGTGATAGGTTGCACCTTTCCTCTATGTGTGCTAAAAGAAAGTTATGTCATAACACCTTTACCTGTATTCTTTTCCTCTCAAAGTGTGTTCCTCTTCAGTCATTAAGGAACTATTGGTACTCTAACTCACCAGAACAATCCAGCTTTTTATGACAACAAGAATTATGATTTTGTAATACTTACTGTTTGCCTTTTCTATTTGGAGTGCAATGCACTGCAATTAGGATTTCTGTCATCAAAGAGATTAGAAATTTAAGGACTCTTTTCCTATACTCACATGGTCTTTCAAACACAAGTCCTTTCTATTTCCAGAAAAAGGGAACACACCTCAAAGTCAGTATAGAGGAGTTCAAAACAAAACTCCTCATAATGATGTTTTTGGGGAAGTTTGATTCCCTTCTTTACCTTCAGAGGGGTAGTTGTGTGCAAAATAATTTATAGATACTAAACTTATAATTGGGAGGTAGGAGCTGAAGTAGCTAGAAAAGACATCCTCAACAGTAACAACTGCATCATTTCAGAGCCCCAACGCTTAACAAAAGACAGACATTGAAAGGGTAATACAATAGAAAACCACTTGAGGCACAATTAATCAATGAACGTGTCAAAAAGAAAATACATTCTACCTGCTTTAAAATGCATATTTGCTTCTGAATGATGCTTGAAAATCTAGGAGTAGTGGGTCATATTTTACCCCTTGTTTGCACCATTCTTCATAAGCCTTTGTAAATGGAATTCTCTTTATTTTCCAGTCAAATGGTTCAAATGAACTTTGTCTTTAAGAAGTTAACACTATATTGTTTGAAAATGGAAAAGGCTGAATTTCTTGTAAATGAGCTCTTTTTCAATGGAGCAAGGAGCACTTGCCTTATGCTCTTTTTTTCCACCATCACTGTATAGAGGCTTTTCACTCTTCTAATTCATGTTTATCCTTTTGTTTTCTGGTGCTATGGTTCTTTTATCAAGAAAGTGAGACTATAGAAACAGCTGTGAAGATGCAGATTTTCAAAGGCACAAAAGAGTTTCTTACAAGCTGGAGTTTGATAATTCTTAGTGAAAATTGGATAGTTCACTTCCTTTATGGAATTGTAGAATAGTTTGGGTTGGGAAAAAATCTTCAGAGATACCTCGTACAGACCCTGACATGGATAGGGACATCTTCCACTAGACTTGATTTCTCAAAGCCCCATCCAACCTGGCTTTAAACATTTCTAGAGATGGGACATCCACAACTTCTTTGGACAACCTGTTCCAGTGTCTTACAATCCTTACAGTAAAAAAAAAAAAAAAAAAAAAAAAAAAAAAAAAAAAAAAATTCATGTCTTATGTAAATCTACCCTCTTTCACTTTAAAACCATTCCCCCATTCCCCCTTGACATACCACTACATGTCCTTGTAAAAAGTCTTTGATTTTCTTTTAGGCCCCTTAATATATTGGAAGGCTGTCAATAAGATCTACCTTCTCTTGTCCAAGCTGAACAACAACCTTTTGTCACAGCAGAAGAACTCCAGCCCCTAGTCATTTTCATGGCACTTCTCTGTACCTGTTTCAACAGGTCTACATCCTTCTTTTGTTGGGGAACCCAGAGCTGGATTCAATAATCCAGGTGGGGTCTCATCAGAGCAGAGTACAGGAGACAATTCCTTCCCTGGGTCTGTGGGCCAGGTTTCATTGGACAGAACAAATGAACTGTTGCCGTTTCTGAATTCCCAGCTGTGTATTTATGTGTATTTAAAATTCAATCACCTTCCCAAGCCAGACCTCTAAAGACTTGGAAAACAGGAAATCAAACTTCCTGCTCAAGTTCAATTTTTGTGGAGCAAATTACTGAGTGATAATGAGGCTGGCCTAAGATAAATACTTCTGTCAGACAACAGATTTAAATCATGCAGGCATTACAGACAGCTTTCTACTAAGGAAACTGCAGTGTACGCTATGGCATTTATTTATAAGATGACTGTGGGCTGGTATTTCATTTGTTGTTTTCATTGAACAGTATGAATTTAAGTCACTCTGTGGAACTTATTTCATACAGACAAAAGCTGCAATCAATGATGGGTGGAGAAGCGTGCAATCCCCTCTTTTCAGATGTAGAAATGCATTTTATAATTATGAATTGTTTTTTTTTAAAATAAGAATTATATTAAGCTGCTTTTGAATATTTAAATAATGTGCACATTGTATGGGAGCAGAAATGACATTTTAGTGTCAGGGAGCTTTATATAAAATGATTTTCAAATGAGTACTAATCTAATCCAGAATTTTCTACAAAACCCTATTTTTTTCATGCTGATTTAAATATCTTTGCCCCATCAGGCAAATGGAACTCTGCTGATGTATCACATCAACCTAAAATGAGAGGAAATTGTATTTAATCAGGATGCTTTGACATTTTTCCTGTTGCATTTCTTGGTTATACAGTTGTCATAATCCAAACTCTGGATGGTGTTCTGCTTCTGTGTTGACCATCAGGGTTATCATTAGAAATCTCACTTAGCTCTGTTCATATTTCTTGCTTTAGTGCAGTGTAAACCTCCTCAATCCTTGATGCATAATTTGCTTAAGATGAGTTTGAATGATATAGTATTTGGCCAGTCCTATGTTGCCTCTCCTGACATCATTAACTTTCAGGTGCAGTGTAGTCATAGTCCTTGGGCCAAACTATGCTTTTATTTCCAACTTGCAAGTAAACTGCTTCTTATAAAGTAACATTTTTAAAAGCTTTTTTTTTTTTTTCTTTTAATTTTACAGAAGGAGACTGGAAGATAACTGTAGTCACTGGGGATTTTGAAACAGCTGGCACAACAGCAACAGTATTCCTTTATGCTTATGGAGAAAACAAAGCTTCTGGTCCTATTATTTTGGGATCTGGGAAACAGCAGCTGTTCAATCCCAACAGTAAAGATACATTTAAGGTACAGTATGGCTGTTCTATAAACACCAGAGAATTCAAAACATATGCAAAGTATCTTTTCTCAAAAGTAGGTAATAGAGGTAATAAAAAAGACTCAAAGAAACACGTAAGGACGATTAAGTATTTCTGAGGGCGTGGCTGACTTTTACGACTCTGAGTTTTGAATCAGGAGCTGTGTTTGCAACTGCATGGGGCAGACTTGTCTCTCAGCATCTGCTTCATACTTGCATCTTCTTGATGTGCTAGTGTACATTAGATGTTCATTTGAAGAAGCAAAAAGAACTTTCTTTGCATTTATGTATTAAGATATTCTTTTTTATGGTTTGTGTTGCATATCCATCTTTTGAACAGTCCATTGTAAATTCTTCCACAAACTTCCTCAGACTTCCACTGAAGCCCACTCTTGTGTAAACTTTTTTTGGAGAAAGTAAGAAGGAAAGAGGAGGGGGGTGGCTAGAAACAAGAGGTAAATCACAAAGATTAAGTTAACTTATGTGATTCAAATTAGTGTTGACCTGTTCCTTTGTTCCTCCGAGCAAATGGAGACATTTCTCTCTGCTGACAAGTCTCTGAGATGTGCTTCAGAAACGTGACATTTCTCAGGACTTCTACAAGATCCTGTTATTCCTGCCATTTTCTCTACTTCATGCAATTCCTCAGTCAGGACTGTACCTGTTGCAGTACAATTTGTGATAGTTAAATCTGTGATATGTCACTTAGGTTTAAATAATTTATGCATGATAAACAGATGGTGGGGAATCAGCGACAGATGGGACAAAAAGTGTCTTTTGATACCAAAATCAGCCATATAGAAACTTTCTAGCACAGTTTTTTCAAAAAGAAGTGTTAATTGATGCAGGGTGTTGGAAGAGAACAGCATAATATAATGGAAACAAATAAAAAACAGCTATGCCTCACAGAAACAATCAAAATACCATATAGTTTCAAAATCCCTGTCTTGTAGTCACACATACAACCATAAGAAATCGGAGAGAAATGGCCCACAAAGAGAGAATCAGACCAAACTGTATTGGATTGTCTTTAAAAAAAACAATAGTAGTCTGATAGAAAGCACTGTTAACTGTGTAGTGACTTGGATGCCTGAAAGTATACAATGAACATTCAATAAAGTTATAAATAATAAAAAAAGAAAGTTAATAAAACTTGAGTAAATCAGCTGGTGCTCCTTTATAGCCTCCTGAGATTTCATTCTGGAACTTAATTTTAGTGTTGCTTCTATTGCTTTATAAAGCAAGTGTAACTTCATTAACTGTGACTATTTCTGATTAAGGTTTGCATAAATGAAATTAAAAGCTAGCCAAAGTCCATTGTAATTCAGGTAAAATGTAACAAGGCTCTTACCCTTAGAGATTTCCTTGTGATAGCAGTACATGAAATTCATTGAAGGTAATTTACATTTTTGTGATGGGGAGAGTTCTTGTTTCTGACTGGAGTCCTGGGTTCTAGGTTTCCTCGAGACAGTCATGTGTACTCTGTACAACATTTGCTCTTGTGGCTTAAAAATTTTTCCTACCAGATGGGTATATCAAGAATAAACAATATAGGAGTAGGGATAAAACAGAATTTAAATCTGATGGATTTCCTTTCCTGCTCTGAATCGTCCCTGTGTGTTCAAATAGACTACTTCTGGGCTGTGATTTTCTGCTTCTGTTACTATTCAGGCGTAGTTTTTAGGGCATAATTTTTCTGTTGAGAGCCATTCCTTCTCCAGTAGAGGAATATCAATCTTCCATAAGTTACAGCTTTCATCACAACTCTGATCTGTTTCCTGCATCTTCCTCTGGTGTCATCACAGACCCTGAGTATTTCTCAGTATTTCAAAAATACTGATTTTGGCAGAATTCCAGGTTGCTCAAGATACTGGAGCTTTAATTATATTGTAAATTATATTTTCTGGAGCCCTGTATTTTGCATCATCATTCTTTGAAACATGCTGAATTATCTCTTATGACTATACACACTGTTTGATAAAGAAATTACTTTTAAAATATTCTTTTAATGTTTGGTCATGCTAAACATTCCCTTCTGTGTCAAAGAGAACTAAGCATAAGACTGTAAGCCTATTATCTTCTATAAAAACCAGCTGCAATCTCTCAATTTTTATTACTTCCATACATAATAATTCCATACCTTCGGGTACAAGTTCTGCTGTTCTAGTAATAATGAAGTCAGTAAAAACACTGACTGGTTCAGTATATCTGCTTTCAAAATACTGCTTGCCTTAGTGAAAGTGGCAGGATCTAGCATTTCCCTAATAAGACTTTTTCCATTATTTGTTTTGTGAATTTGCTTCATTATCAGCTCTTCAATCTCTTTAGGGTGGTGTTGGTCTTAGGAATCTCAAGACATTGTCAATTAAAAAAAAAACCCCACAATAATAAACTATTAGAAGTGCTGTAATTTTTCCTAAGAAATCTTCAGAATCTTCAGTTTAACCTTAGATTATATTTTGGGGTTGGTGTCTGTCTTTGTAAGGAAGGTAGCTGTTCCATGTTTGCAAGTACAGAACATGTCGCTGTCGAGGCAGGACGGGAATGAAGAGACTCTGACCTACAAGGCTGTTGAGAGTAAAACTCTGATTTATTCAAAATACACTGCTCTTTTATACAGAGTTTCACAAGGAGCAGATCTATTGCTTCTGAAGTGAAAACAACCCACCACATTGGTGCAGAGTGCTTGATGCACAGTGATAGAACTTAACTATAAACAATGTGAAAAACAAGAGAGATAAAGAATTATTTACATTCTCTCCAGCTCTTTCCCAGACGTCGGCCTGGCTAGAAACTCTCAGTTTCTTTCTTTGACTGAATCTGAGTCCCACAGAACATGAAGTATGCATGATATTTTAGGAGCATTGGAAACTGAAATCCATCCCTGGTGTGATTTTTTTCTGCATGAGCTAATTTTTCTAACTTTTAAAGCTGGTGCCACATCTGTTTACATGGTTTAGAGTTTGGTCATCCACATAAACAATCCTTCAAACACTCTATGGTCTAGGGTAAGTAATACCAGAAAGTGATAGAGGCAGATGAAAAGCAGGACTCCTATAATACTTGAAGAGATACTTAATACCATAAAACTTAATAAATAGTGTTCATATGATGAGACTGGTAAAATGTTAAATACAGCCATTTTTCTTCCAATTTGGTTGTTAAGAGTTGTGTTCATCAGGTGCACCTTCATGTTGTACTGCATCTCAAGAATGTGCTACACTTAGAACTTGATCTGTTGTTTTTCATTTTGGTTTCCTCCTGTTTAGATAAAATGATCAGTCATTTTAAATAGCCTATATATGAATAATTAAAACTCCTTTCTTTAGAATCAGCCCTACAGACTCTAAAAACCTGTTGTGTTTCACCGTGAGTCTTTCATTCCTGTACTCTGGATCCATAGTCATTCTTTCATCAGCCAAAACTGAGATCTCCAAAGTAAAATGAGAAGCAGTGAGAAGAAAACTAAGCATTGCAAAAATAGGTTGAAACAAATCCATTTTCATACTTTTACTTGTGATGTTCAAATAAGAGGTACTGCAATGAGCTCAGTTAGAATCCTCTGAGAGTGGGTAGATTGCAAAAGTGAACATAAGCACTCATGTAGCTATCCACACTCTTAACTATGGGACTGACAATGCCTAAAAGCTGGACACTGCTTGTGTACTGCTATTTTCCAACTGTCCCTGCTTTCCATAATGACCATTTAGGTCCAGAAATAGTTGAATAAAACTTAGAGAAGTGCAGGGTTTAGTCAGATCTGCTTAAGGCAGCATAAAACAGTCATACCCATGACTGTTATTCCACTTGAAACTGTCACTGTGAAGTGCATATGATAACAAGATGAACCTCATCCCTTACTGAGATGAAAGAGAAAAATATGTAAAATTATCTTCATCAGCTACAGGCTGTACATTAAACAATATTTAGCTTGTTCCAAAAAACAACACAGGATTGTAAAGAGCTCACAAAAAGTCTTGGAGAAAAACACAGCTCAGCTCATCTTCAAGAAATGGGAGTGGGGAATGTGGTGATACTTGTTAAGTAATTAGGCAGTATGTATTGCAGTATCTAGAGTGTGAGTGTGTGTGTATGTATATATATATATGTGTGTGTGTGTGTATGAATATTTGTACTTGCTGTTGGCATAATTTGATTAACCCCACAGTAAAAATAAAGTTCTTCCAGAGCTTGAGCGCACTGGAAAAGAAAGTGTTTTAACAGTCACTGTGCAATGAGCAGTATTTACCCAATCTATTTTTGTGACCAAAGCAGTATGAAGTAGGAAAAAATAATGCCTTTGTGTGGTCTTTAATCCTATTCCTTACATGTCTATACCCACCCTTTTTCATGATACTCTTACATTTCTGTGTGAGCACCTTTGACATATTCTAGTTGCTGAGTTAGTGTGTAACTGTGCCAAGTTTTTGGGCACAAATAACAAATTGGTTGAATTCAGACATCTGGAAAAAGCAATCAGCATGAGTGGACCCTTTGTACTGTACTGGTATAATAGTTATTGTATTTTTGGCAGCAGTTATTAGCTGCATGTTCACAAATAAAAAATATCATCTGCTTCCAAAGATTTCTCTCTTATATGCCAGTGCTGTAGAAGTTAAGCTAATGCAATCAATGATTTTTCTTTCTTTTGGGAATCCAACTGCTGTGCATGACTTCTCTGAAATTCTCTTAATGAAGTGGCCTTACATGAAATTAATAACTCTCTGCCAAGCACATTCTCTGGTGGGTGTGTTAGACATTAGGATTTTGGTGCAGCTGCCTCTGAAGTGCTGATTTATCCAAGTGATCTTCATGCTAGCCTGAGTTAATCTGAAAGAGATTGCAAGATAATCTCTGCACAACTAGACAGCAGTGGTATTATTTTGCTTATTTTAGTAAATGAAAGAGAAAAAGAGTAAATACATGTATTTTTTTCCATATTTTTATGGAAGTATCTTTCCACTGGACTTTTTCTTGTTCAGACAAGGAACTTTACTTTTCACTTAGTTAAACATCTTAAGTACATGAAGATAGATCATACCAACTCCATTCAAAATATCACAGGTCAGTGTAGTTTAACTGCTTGCAAACATTTGGACTATGACTAAATCCAAGATGTTGTGTGAGAAAGCATGCCCCTTTTGAAAGTGGTGGACAGTTTTTTCAATAATTTTTACTGGTACTTGTGCCATGAAATATGATGTGTTGATATTATTGCCTGTAACAGTAAAGAAAAATGCTACAAAGGCAATAGAATTACCACTATCATTGTAGTCACAATCATATTTTTAAGCTTATTAAGTGCTGTCACATAAGCAAGGTCTTTATGAGGCCCATCCCCTTTAGAACTTATGACAGGACTTAACACAAACTAATTAATGCAGCAGAAGGAGTTCCACAAGCAACCAACAAGTTAACTGTAGATGATGATTCAGGTGTTTTGCAAAATTTTTTTCTGGGAAGAGGCTGGCATTTGTAGAAGATTTCTCTAACAAGTCATCCCTAAGAACATCACCATACCTGATGTTTGTGGTGTCTAGATCCCTTTGCTTCGATCTGTGTTTCCATGCCCTTGTTTGTCACCTCTGCAGTTTAGGTTTTATGTTCTATAGGTGGCTGATGTAGGCCACATCATAATAGAATTTGAATCTCCCTCCATGTCCAAACTCTATTACATCACTGCAATTCATGAGTTTTGATATCTCAATTAAATTTTAGAGAAGTAACAACTAACACAAAATGAACAGAACATTTTAGAAAAAAAATACAGAATTTTGGAGTTGTGCTTTTTTCTGAGAATCTCAAAATTTATGAAAAGAGATTTGCAATGTTTCTGTAAGAGACATGTAAATGTTGTCCATGTATAGTTGAGAAACTGGAGCAAAATGGGTTTGTGAATTTTGTAGTTGCTCAGGAAGCCTAAAGCAAATCCAGGAATAGAATCTAGCTGCCCAATTTTCAGAGCAATGCTTTAGTCCTGGAACTCATGCTTTCCTCTTTGGACATTTATTGCAGGCCTATCAGAATGGCTGTTTCCATATAAAAAGGAATACTACTTTTGCAGCTTTAGTTCCAACATCATAGAGCAGCCAGACTGCAGTTTGTGTAAGCACGTTGTTTACAAGGGTGACAAAGTCAACTTTGTTCTACAACTTTTTACAGAACGTTCTGGCTGTGAAAGTAGATTTCTAAATGCCAGGTTGTGTTCAAGTCATGCAGAAGTTCAAGGCAATTTATTCAACACAGGGAAGGAAGAAGCAACCTCAAGACACTGTTTATGTTGTCAAAAGAATATCGTTAGCTCTACTGTGTTATGAGAATATTTTCCTCTGCATTTCACTGCAAGAGCAAATTTTGACATACATTTAACGGGATTCCAATTGGCAAAAAATAACATGTTAGCAAGTCAATACCACTGAGAAACCAATGTGATATCTGATCTGACATCAAGATGAATTGTTCCAAGCCCCAAATATGCAACTGGTACTGAAAATAAATTTCTAATTGTATTATATTGTCTTTCAGAACATCATATACAATTGATTTCCCCTCTGCCATTGCCTAATTTCCACCTAAGAATATACATGACTTTTCTCCCCAAGGTCACTAATAAACAAGTATTCAGAAAAATAATATTATGCGATAATTATAAGAATATTACTAAGCCTGTTGTCACATGGGCAGTGTTCTGTGTTTTGAATTATTTTTGAGACTTTTCAGATTCAGAAATATGCCATTACCTCTAAGTCCAGCATAGTTTATCATACAAAAACCTCTTATTTTATAAGTCAGGTAGACAAGGATGCTTGATATTGTTTCTCCCTTTAGCTGAAAGCAAGCAAATATGACTTGAAACTTTGACAAATTTGTTTATATAGTAACTACTTTTAGAGTGTGAATGTTAGGGATAGGAAGTAGAGAAAGACACAAGGACATACATATTTAGAGATGCTGAACAGGACTTCTATAACTCTAATTGAACTGGTTGCAACTAGACACATCTTCTGGAGAAACCTAAAGGTCTGGACAGAGCTTTCTGTTCTCTACTTTGAAACTTCATTTGATTAGGTTTAATGGATTGCTCTCTTGCTTATCCAGTAGCAGGCATTCCCTGCATGCTGATATGGTGATGAATGGGCCTCATCATTTCCCTCTCCTTTTTCAAATTGCTTTTTTTTTTTCTTCTTTTCCTTTCTTTTCCCCACATCTCTTTTGGTCAGCTCTCCTACATGTCCTTATTTCTGTGATGTTTTCTCCAGTTATATCAGTGGTCTGCCAAAGTTCATCTACTGTGCAGCTGGCAGGATGAGGGAGGTAATTCTGTCCCTTTATTCTGCTCTTGTGGGACTCCACCAGGAGTGCTGCATCCAGCTCTGGGGCCTCCCACACAAGAAGGAAATGGATCTGTTGGAGCACAGCAGGAGGAGAAGGACCAGAAGGACATGTTCATGGTCATTGCATGGGAATTCGCCCGGAAGCATATCTCCCATCTTGGACCTCCTTCTGGAACAACAACAACAACAAAAATTCCACTTTAGAATAATATGATAGATGAATATAATTTGAAAAGTTTTAGCTTTGCTTTTGAGCCAACTCATATGATACATACTAAAACTCACGTATATATAAAATACATATGCAAGATTTCTTTATCAGAATTTCAGTTTGCTTCATAGCCAAATGACTGATTAGCTGCTTCAGAAACTGAAAGGGGATCTTTAATAATTTCATGGTCCTGACCAAGAATCATGGTAATTATTTTTGTATACAATAATCTCTTTCAACAGGGATTAAGCCAGAATTTAATCACGGACATAAGGTCACAAGGTATCAGTGTTTTATTTACAAAATTGCCCTTTAATGCTTTTGCACTACAAATAGCAGCCAGGAGAGCACCATCTTTGTTGTTCACCAATACCATACTCTACTCAGTTTGCAATAAAGATTAAGAGTTCTAATATATTTTATATTTATTTTTGAGGTCACCTTAGGAGTCCCTTGCCCACTGCAGAGGTCTCTGTTTTGCAGCTGGGTGACATTTTTTAGGGCAACTTAGCCCATGTCCTGCCTACATTTGTGGCTAGCTTCAGAGTGGTTTTTTTTTGTCTTTTGTTGTAATTCTGCTGTGAGTATTAAGAATATATCTTTGAGGTACATGGTTTTATTGCATTAATGCTATAATTGTATCTTCAGTTGGCACATCTTACTTTAACATACTGTTTTAATATACCAAAACCTACTACAATGATCATAAGTATGACTCTATTCAGACTTTTTACTACTAGCATACATGTCATGCCCTCAGCCTGTGAGACTGAGTTTTGCCAGGCTTGCCTCAGGGATGTTTGTTTCCTTTTTGTTTTGATGTGAAATTGTACAAAATTGCTATAATACTAAAGGAAACAACTCTTTTTTGTTCTTTTTTCACTTGGTGATTTTTTTCTCAATTACCATGACTTTTCAAATACAACACTGATAAAAAAAAAAAGTTAAAAAAAAGGTTGAAAGTGCTTAACCCTGTTTTTGTGCTTCTATTCCTGCCATCAGAATTGCCTAAAATATCTCTGCAACCCAAAACAAAACAAAAAAAAAAACAAAAAAACAAAAAAAAGCTTTTATTTCAAGGCTGCAGTATTCAATGTGACATAGCCATGTTTTACTGTTTAAATTTGCTGCAGTGTAGCATCCCTGTAACATCAGCACTTAGAAAAACAGTTAACCCTGGAACCAGAGCACATAAACACATGAGTCAATGAGAAAAGTAGCAGACAGATAAGTGGTAGGAATTGTTAATAGGTCTCTGCTGATGGTAACTGTATGGACTTGTATCATTTGGTGTAGCAATGACTGTTAAAGGATTTGTCTAGGAATAGAGATTTACATTATAACACTAGAAAATGGATTCCTTGAAGAGGTCTAGAAACAGACTGGATTCTCTGAGCCCTTTATTCACTTTAAATAATGGTGTACTGAAGTCAATAAAATTACACTTCCAGACTACTCCATATGTTTTTACTCTTTGTCTCTGGGATTCATTGTATATTAAGGCTTAGTTTTCCAACAAAACTCATTATTCTTGGCTATGTTAGCTGCACTATGTTAGCTGCACATTTAGCTTGCATGCCCAGTATAAGGATGTCTAAAGATAACAGTGTAATTTGTTATTATTTTTTTTACCTTTTTTTTTTTTTTTTTTTAATAGATCAATCTCAGAGATCTTGGGCAAGTATATAAAATCCGCATTGGCCATGACAACTCTGGAAATGATCCCAGCTGGTACCTGGAGCAAGTCAGGCTTGAAAGAGTAGTCCCTGTTTCTGCTGAAGAGATTTGTCTCCCCATAGAGAGCTGGCTTTCTGAAGACAAGGATGAAGGTGATACATGGAGAGAAGTGGCAATAAGAAACCCTGCAGAGGAGCTTTTGCCATGTACGTGCTCAGTATTTTGGATCATGTGTTTATTAACCATTTCCTCTGAGTATATGACAGTTTTTCATGTTTCCTTCAGGGCAACAAAAGCCCTCCTGCCCAAAAGCCAGTGTAACCATGAAGCAATCCCTTTCAGATACTTTCTAGGTCCAGGAGAGGGAAGTGATCCTTTAACCCCACTCCTTTCCTTCCCAAAATCAGAATAATAGCTGTGGCCAGGGGATCTTACCCTATAAAATATTTGATTTCTCAGAGTGCTCATACATCATTGGTAAATACTGGTCTTTAGAGAAAGACATCAGGTAGGAAATCAAGGTTTGTAATGTCATGTGATATCCAGTTCATTTTAGCAAGTTTGAGGTCATCCTTTCTTGTCCTGCATAAAACAGACTTTACAATAAATCCATTATGTGAAGCATCACACACATGTTTTTCAAATCAGGCTTGAGTCACAGCCATTCACATAGGAATTGTTAGCTGCAGGGTGACACTTTGGAACACCAAAGTTTATGATAGCTTTGATGCACTTTGTTCTCCCATCATATAAAGTTATTAAAAAGTCCAGCACCTTTATAGAAGAACAGGAATTCAGTATAATCACTACAAGTGTTTTTTTTTTTTTAATTTTAATAGATTTTCTTTACATTAATAGAATGACAACAATGCAGCTGACGGCCAGTAATGTCTGACAGTGATATGTCTTACATGGATAGGTGCTACATTTAGTAAATTGGATTCAAGTTGATGCAGTGAATTTTGCAAGGTGTCTGGGAATCAACATAAAAAATATCATCATGCATTTAATGACAATCAAATAAATTGAGAAGAAAATATCACAGAAGTGAAAACCCTTAAGTCAAAAGAATATAATTCTCTGAAAAAATATTAAGACTGTGAATGTTTTATTGCAGAGGACAGAAGATGTTGAAAAACATGTATGAGCCAGCTCATATTTCTGCTTTGCTCTTTTCTTATTTTCTTTTTTTTTTTTTCTCCAGAATAGTTATTAACTTCAATAAGTGATTTCAAAAAATGGGACTGATCAGGATGAACCAAGTTTTATGATCATTGACATGTACCACAGTACCATATGTCACTCACAGTGACATATATGTCATTTACTGGTGCAATAGAAAAATGGTGCAGAAGCCAATTAATTTGTACAAACAATCAATTCAGCATCAATAATTCAAATCTGCATTATGCAGTCTGAAAAACCCATTCATAGAAAAGTACTAATATTGTGGTCTATATATATATTTATATATGAAAAATCAAGTCAGTTATATCAAATGCTGGAAATATCTTTAAACCAGCACATTTATATAGTCTTTAATAATTGTATTGCTGCATATTTCCTTGTATTTGCAGGAAAATTATTAAAATATATGTTTTAAGTATGAAAGAAAAGATATATTTCCAAAAGGACTTGGAAATGTCTCAAAAATTTAAGTTTTACTAATTAGTTATTGATTTTTGGAACATTTAAATTGAACATCAATACAAACTCAGCAAGGAGTCCAAAGGATTTCCTATTTATTTTCTCAAGAACAAGAAAATTAAACACTATCCATTTTCATTTCCCATTTAAAAGCTAATTGCTTACAAGTACTGAGCAAGCCACATCAACTCACTTTCTCTAGCAGATGAAACTACATGCTGGCAATTACTTAATGAGGATTTGATATGATTTAGGAGTTTGTATTCTGTACTTTCAATTTAATCTGTGATCTTCTAGTGATAACAGATTTGCTTAAGTATAAAAGTCATGTACTCGAAACTTTAAACAAAGCAAACAAATGTAAACTAAGCACAGAAGGCATTGGTCTTGTAATTGCTGTTCTTAAACACTTAGGTCATTGCTCAGCTTCCCTCTCAGAAGAAATGGTAATTTTTACTTATTCTTTTTCTCCCTTTCCCCAGCTGAAATTTTCTATGCAACCAATATGGACCCAAAACCATGGAAAAATATTTGACTTCTTGGCTTTATTATTTTTTCTAGCATCTTCTCTTAAGATCTGAATTTATTTCCTGCATCTGTTAGCTTTTCTTTACCTTCCTCTCTGAACTTACTTCTTTTCCATTCAGATTTCTCACCTTGCTAGCTCTTGTTAGTTTTTCTCATTGTTCTACAGCCACTTAAAAAAACTGACACTAATCTGGTCTCCTACTCCAAGTATTGATTTCAGTTCTTTGTCAATCTCTCCATCACACCAGCCTCAACTTCCTTTCTTAATTCAGGTTTCTTGTCCCTCCAATGCAGGTCTGGCTTTGTCTTCCCTTTCCTTATTTTTTCCACATTTCCAAAGCTTTTTGGTCCATGGCTTCTTTTTCTCTTCCTGTTACACCTTCTCTTTTGCTTTTCCAGCCCTGGGATCTAGAAAACACCTGCTCTGTCTTTGAAGCTGTCCCTGAATTCAGTATGCTGTTGTACTGTGTGATTCCTGGAGGTTCCTTTTGGGTTTTTTTGATGGTTTGGTCGGTTGGTTGGTTGGGGTTTTTTTTTGTTTTTGTTTTTGTTTTTTGGGGTTTTTTTTGTGATTCTTCTATGCAGTCTGTGCCTTATTTTTTTTTTCCTTTCTAGCAGTTCCAGATAGATTTAGTTCACCAAATTTTACAAGTGTTGGGTTTTTACTTGTTGCTCTTTAGATATGGTTTCAACCCCTTGTTACATTGTGATGCGCAAAATAAAAGTTATTCAACTATTTTCTAAGTGATAGGCATTGGAAATTAGTAATCATTCCCTGAGTTGGGTAAATCTTGAAATAAATCACTCAATGACAATAAGATAGAAGACTTTGAATGCTTTTGACTTAGCTTTCTAATATAGGAATATTAGGGGAATCAGCCCAGATGTGCAGCTCAGAGTAGCTCAGTGAGGCTGCCACAGCTGCATGGCCCCAGGCCCAACCAGCAGCAAGGCTCAGCACATTCCCAGTCAGCACTTACAGAGAGCACAGCTGTGTACCACACACCAATGTGTTCCAGCTGCACAGATCACAGATCACCCTGGCACACAGAGCAGCTGCACAAACACAGCCCCAGCAGCCTCATCCTGCTCCCCACTCTGGCTGAGTAGGACAGACACCCAGCAGCGGGACTGTGTACGTGTATAGGTGTGTACAGGGTAGATCCGATGGCTGGGCTCACACACTCTGCCTAATCCCCAGTTGCCCCTGGATCCCAGTTTCTCCAGCTGCTGGCAGCAGGACATAGGAGCCCCTGAGGCTGCCCGCCTGCTCCAGCTTCTGGTACAGGCCATTTCCCTCATGCTCGACCCAGCAGGTCTCACCCCTAAAGATACCCACACCTCAGGGTGTCTCTGGCAGCTGAGTGGGACTCACCTGGTCCCTCCAACACTTGGCTGCTCACATAGTCTTGCACTCAGAGAAATGGGCCTCTGACCCCTGGTCCCACTCCACTCACTGACAGTTTTATTCCCTTCAGTCTCTCAAGCTGCTGCCATGCAGGACTCCAAGTCCAGTTGCTGGTACTTGGACTCCCTACCCACACAAGCACACAGAGAACAGATGTGATCTATTTTCTAACACCACATCCTTCCCAGGTCACCTAGATCCATCTATTTCCCTTCCTTTAGTTCCTCTCCTAAATGTCTTACAAGTCCTCTGCAATCACAAAATCATCTTCTCTTCTGCCCTCTATTGCATCTGACATCCTTGGGGCATCAGACTTCTTAAGTATGATAGGCACTCCAAGTTGCTTGTCATGTTGGGTTTTATGCCCAGACTGAGACTTCTGGGACAGCCCTGCAGGGGCTGGCAGTGTGTTCCTGTTCCCTAAATCTCTAAAGGTTCCCTTCTGCCCTTGTGCCCCTGTGATTGTGGAGATGGGCCTGGGAGAAGCCAGAGCAGGACTCTGTACATGTGCAGAACTTTATCACAGACCCTAACATGGGTTGTCTTCAGATATGGCTGAACTTTTGTTCTACAGGAGTACCTGATGCAAGAGGTACTGAATCTTCTTACTGCCATGTTTATATGAATATAAATGTCAAATGAGGATATAAATGGGTAAATGTGTCCTATTCTTGTTCACATATTCAAAGGTATAACTGTATTGGTTCTCCAACTGGAAAAGAATACTAAATCTTTGGAGCTGGAATTTTTCCTGTCTCAGTCTCAGTATTTGTCTTTTATCTCATTTCAGTACAGTGTGCAGGCAAATACAGAAAGGTTAGAAGGTGGCAACTGACTGAAATAGTGCAAAAGATGACCAAAGCAAATAGTAATAACACAAGTGTTATCTCTATAAAATTTTTATCCCTGTTTTATCACTCAGGAGGCACCAACTACATAAGTAAATAGTCAAGCTTCTTTATAGTAAAATTCATTAGCAAGTATGTTTTTTCAAAGCTGATAATTTTCTTGCATGTCGTGAAGAATATATATATATTTCCAGACTATTGCTCCAGATATTACCAGCAGAGATTAGAGAGCAGTTAGTGGAGATTAGAGTGAGAACGATAATTTGAATTGAAATGTCCTAACCTGATATTGTTTTTGTATTTGTGTTTTCTAAATTAATATATGCACTGCTTCTGAGGAAGATAGTCCCTCTTAACCTGTATCAGCCATTAAGAATTTGTTCTCTTTTAGCTTTAATGCTGCACTAACCTGTATCTTTACCCTTCATGGCAAAATGCCAAACACCCTTTTGAAAGCCGAGTGTTAGCACCAAGTGACAAAACCAGAGATTCAACCTTGCTGTTTGACAGATTGAGTCAAAACAACCATTTCATTCAAGTGGGCATGTCATATAGAAAAAAGGCAAAACCTGGAGCAATACTGTGCAATACCATTCTGGGATCTTGGTACGCCAGCATAAAGAGAGGACTGAATAGAACCAGTGGGACAATTTTAATGTTGCGTGTCATTTAACATCTCTCCAGGTTTTGTGCTCTTTGGCCAGTTTGTCTGTTTACACTGGCAGCCTGGTGGGAGTGAATTTGCTCAGTGAAGCACTCAGTGCTAAAATCCCAC